CACCTGCCATGATCACATCACAGCAGAGCACTCTGGGATCACTAAAACAAAGAAACTTGTGTTGCAAGAATATTGGTGGCTGAAAATGAGACAGGACATTAAATGATATGTCAAAGGATGTGAAATGTGCCAGTGAGACAAGAGCTTGACAAAGCCATGAGCAGTGCCCCTTTATCCAAACAAGGTCTCTCAATCACCATAGACCCACATCTCCATTGACATAGTCATAGGCCTACTGAAATGCAATAGCTATGATGCCATCATTATCATAGTTGATTGCTTCTCTAAGGCCATCATACCAATCACATGCTCAATAAAGCTGATATCAGAAGGATGAGCAAAGATTCTACACAACAAAGTTTATGCCAAATACAGCATGCCTCAGATGATCATTTCAGATCAAGATCTGCAATTTGTCTTGAAATTCCTTGACAACTTGTATCATCTCCTTCACATTTGACAAAATGCCTCTATGGCATACCATCTCCAGACCAATAGCTAAACAGAACATGTTAACCAAGAGATCAAAAAATATCTCTGTCTCTTCATCAACTACTGCTAGGATGACTGGATAGAGTGGCTCACACTGGCAGCATTTCAACACAACAATTGCATTCACTCCACCACAGGAAAGACCCTATTTTTCATAAACTATGGATGGCACCCAAATATCATCCACTTGAATTGCACATCCACTTCAACTCCCATCTTCCACACCTTCACACAAGAAATGTTCCAGATCCACTCTGAAATACAGGCCACTCTGGAGAAGACAGCCAGTACTATGAAAAAACAGTATGACAAACATCACACTGCTGCACATTCCTATAACATCAGAGATAAGGTATGGTTAGACACCACAAACCTTCATCTGCCTTGGCCAAAATGGAAACTGGCTGACAAATGCATCAGTCTTTTCTCAATTTATGCCAAAATTGACACCTCCATCTATTGACTCCATCTTCCTCTTAATTGGAAAATCCATAATATTTTTAATGAAACACTGCTTACACCTTTTATTGCCTCAGCATTTCCAAACCAACAACAATCTCCCCCACTGCCCTCCAACTTAATTGACAATAAAAAACACTATGAAATCAGGCATATACTTGATCACAGATTATGCAAAATCAAGGCAAAAGAGGGTGGTATGACAATGACAATGAATTACCTGATTAGTTGGAAAGGTTATGGCCTCAAGTCTAATCAATGAGTCAATGAAAAAAGGATGGCTGCTGATGATGCCATACATGAATATGAATTATCCCTAAATTAAGCCATCAGGATGATGGTCTTAAGGAGGGGGTAATGTTATGATTTTTCTATTTCTTTCCTGGATTAACTCCTATTTATGCTTAGTCAGAGTGCTTAGGCCAGTGCTTAGGACTGTGGGAAAGGCTTAGTCAGCACAACAAGCCAATCTGTCATTGTTCTCTGACATAGTGACCAGCTCTCAATGACACACAAACATTCTTTTGTGGACAGTAGCAATGCCCAAGGACAATGGGCACAAGGACTTAGAAACACACAATAGGTAGCACCATATTTAGTTCAACAAGTGTACAGTATATAAGTAGGCTCACTCTTGCTGGTTAAACTCCAGCTTTAAGCTAAAGTTTATTCTATCTCATTCTACTCTTGAGCTACTACAAAGGCCTTGAAGCATCTGGTCAACAGAACACAGCAAGTGAACTCTAGTGCAAAGATTCAAACACAAAACCACACTAGTTTATCATGTGCTTCTGACCATGTGCAGCTTGAGTCTAACAAAGACTGTTGTCTGGGACCATCTACTAAGCTGTCCCAATCAACATGATGGGTGAGGTAGCTTGCACCAGATGAGGTGTTGATGATGCAGGATTTCTTCTTGGGGAGGGATTTGGCTCTGGTTTTGAGATGGCTGAGGAGGAGATGCATCAGGAGAAAGTGGTCTAGTGCAGGACTTGAAGGTAAGGATTTTTTTCAGGGTGAAGTATTTGGAAATACCCATGATGTTCATAGTGAATCGGAGGCCATAGCTATCTGCACTGGTTTAGTGCAGTGGGGGCCACATAACTCCACTGGAAAAAAAAATAGTTGATATCAGATTATATTCAGCATGGGAGAAAATATCATACACATTGTTGAAGAGAATGTGTAGTTCAAGTTCTTTGCTATAAAAAAAAAAGAAGTTCAGTGACAGGAACCAGAGATTGATGATGAACCTCTTGAATTCTAAAGCAGCTTCTCTTATGCTCTTGAAGCTTGCAAGGTCCAACTTGATGAAGAGGACTTTCTTCTCTGTGTCTTTCAAGAGCTCTTGTATTGCACTTTGAGCCTTCTTTTCATTCCTAGCAGCAATGTATACCTTTGCATTTTATTTAAGAAGTGCCCTGATAGTTTCTTTACCAATTCCTGTATTCCCACCTGAAGGTACACTCATTAGTTAGCCACCAAGTACCCCATCAAAATTCCAAGTTATTCACCTGTCATGATAACAACACATCCAGAAAGGTCAGGAATTTGCATGGCCCATTTTGGGGCAGGAGGAAATGATTGAGAAAGGAAGTGATAAATTTTGACTAAATAGAGACAAAATATGGACGTCGAAGTTTGGTTTGAAGATTATTTTGTCGCGATAAGATCAGATGTTGTCGATCACGTGGTATGGTCCAGACCAGAAGCGCGTTTCGGTTGACGCGTTTGAGTGTCTCCAAAGAGCGGTAATTGGATGGATTTTCGTCATAATGTATAACCATATATACAAAGGTCAATCAATGTGCTTGTGTTTGAAGGGAAATTCATCATGGAAGCTGTCCGTATCTTGAAGCAGTGTCGCTCGATCGATGCTTAGTCAGCTAGCGATAACCTGCGCCTGGCCGCGTGAGTCATCCTGCTGTTAACGCCCATCATATGTCCTTGACGAGTGAATCCTCCACCTACCATTTCCTTTTCTCCACATTCCAGCTGTTTTCCTAGTCTCTCGGAGATTATCGGATGAAGGGAGTGTCAACAAAGTAGGTGCTTGTGGGAAAACAGCCCGATTTCTTCCTGGTTCCGAGGTGCGTAGCTACAAGTACAAAAAACTGAGCAGAAGGTGCTAATCGAAATACGAAGGTACAAAATGTTGTTAATGGCCCTCTGAATGTACTTTGGTGTCATAATCCCCCTCCCAAGAAGGACCTAGGCAACGTGGAGAACCCACGTATCGCTCTCATCGCCATTTTTGGTTAGCCCCATGAACCGAGTCCTACCCTTCAAATATGCCAGTCTGGGGAGGGCAACCGTCTCTCGATGCTGACCGTCATGCTCCGTGGCCATGAGCAGTGATGATGCTGGTGACGGCGACCAGGGAACGGGAACTTGCAGCGCGCGCCAGATTGTTTCGACCACATCAGCGATCGTTACCCACTCTCGATTAGACGACCTCTGGACGACTATTGGCCATGGCAGCAGCGAGCTGACCACCGCCAACGATGGCAAGGGCGGCAGTGTCGCCGGTTCAGTAACGCAGCCCCATACGCGCACACACGCGAGGCTTATGGAAAAGTCGAGCTCGATTTGGCCGCTATTACACTGGAGCATTGGGTGTATCATGGCATCTTCGGTTATCTGGGATGGCAAGGGCATGTGGGCGGTTGACTGGGGCGTCTGAGGCGGTGAGTGCCTGGGTGATGATGCCGATGGGTTGGATGCTGCCGAGAGCTGTGGTGAGGCTGCCTGTGCCCTGCGGTAAGATGGCGAGAGTGACAGATGAGTCCACTGGGACGGTCCTGTCCCAGGTGGTCCGAGCGCCTGTGGGGTTAGGGCGACGTCTCTGGGGCTGCCGGTGAACATATTCGTGCCCTCCGACGGCGATGGAGGTTGATTGCAGGAATCCCAGATTCCGATGGTGTCGGCCTGTGGTGGGAACATCCTCGGTCTATATGCACACTCATTAATGACGAGCGTTATATAGGCCACGTCGACGGAAAAGCATACCAATTTCTGGAATACCGTGAAATGATAAGTGGAGGTGGTCAAAAGTAATAAACAAGAAACGACACGTACGATCGCTGGGTTTATGGGTACTTTCGTAAAACCTAACCCTAAGTAGCGCTTTGGTACCGTGCCACCGCTTTTGGGGTATATCTTCGGTTCTCTCCGTTGCAATGCACATGTCCTTGTGCCGGATTTGGTACCTGGCACTTATATCGCCGCTGCTTGATGGTAAATGTACCTGCGACTTGGTCTCAGTCTGTTCTCTAAAGCGACTGGGCTGTGTGTCAGTATGCCTGAGCTTGAGCATTTCCAGTGAGCAGGGAGGTTCTCGGCCTCGGTTAGCTGAGGTGCTGCGCACTGGTAGATGTGCTCTACATTAACCGATTGCCTGCACTATGACCTATTGTTAATGAATCAAGGCGCTTCTCGTGGTGATGTGTATTGTCAATGAACAGTGCATTGCGTTTACCTGATAGTGGACTGCATACCTACCAGCTCTTTTCCAGATGTCGTATCTGTGTAAGATCAAAATGCTCTCTTACCACGGACGGGGATCGTAAATCACATTTTACCTTCGCATCTGATCCTTCTCTTCAGGCCAACAACTCCAATCGATAACAAAAGAACGATGAGCTATGATGTTTCCTCTCTTGATCGTGACAGGTTTGTCAGTCGCCTATATGTCGAGAAGTTATATGCATTACCCAATGAATGTTGTCTGGTACTTGACGCTGTTTTTTCAGCGCCCGCTAAAAATGGCCAGGTTACATATTGGAATGTCAGCTGTTCATCTCGGTAATTGAACAATGGGAGGAGATGTACCATACTAACAAACGATCTGTTCTCTTACAGTTTCTCATGACTCTCTATTACAAAATTGTAGCCGACATATTTTTGGCTTTTTGCAAAAGAACAGGAGTGACACGTCGTCCTGCATACTTGCTGGCATAGCATGATAGAGGTCGCGTCTGTGGCGTGGGAATGCATTAGCTACGTGGGAATTTAATTCTTTTTCTTCTCTCCCCGTTCATGGTCCTTCTATGCTACGGATTGTCTCCCGCTACCATCACCATAACTTCTCTCGCTCGTACTTCTCTGCAGGCCTCAACGTCCCCATTCTCTCTGCTACCAGACGCTCCGTCCGCGTCCAACAGCTCCCAGATGGATACGACGTCAGCGAGGTCGTCGGCATCCTCAGCGCCAGCCCCGTCGAGGCAATAATACCATCCCAGGATCATATCTCTCTCCGCTTTTTTGCCAGAACCCTGGCTAAGATGTATCGACAGAGGCATTTTGCCCGGCTGTACCTGGAGATTGATGGGGCACTGACACCGCCGTTGTCTGCGTTTACGATTGCGGCGCTCGGACGATATAGACTATCGTTGAATTTCGTTATTGATGGGCTTCCTGAGGATATGGGTGAGGAAGAATTGAAGGAGCTGTTGTTCAAAGGCAAGAAGGTGGTTTCCTGGCGACTCGAGGGTACAAGCGCCAATGTGCACCTGTTTTCTCTGCACCAAGTCATGCGGGTGTGTCTGCTTGCTACTTTTCTTTTCTTGTGCAATGGGCTTACTGCTTCTTCAGGTTCGGCTTGTGCTGGAAGATAACCTCCAATTCAAGCATTGCCGAATGTCTTTCATCGACGAGGATGATTATTTGTATCCCGAGTGGTACTCGCGGCCAGAAAAGAGTGACGCTGATTCCAAGCGGTGTGTCATCATTGACAATATCCTTACACCGCAAACTTCAGTCGCCGTACGAGACTGGGTCAACTTTTACGATAAACAAGGAACCGGCCTCGTATACGGAGCTCTCCGACCTGAGCAAAATGTGGGTTTCGCGCGTTCTCCTTATCAGCGTTAGTTGACCTCCTTGCTTGTAGATGATGAGACTGCGATTCGCCTCACCGGGCCTCGCAGGCCAGTTCATCGCCAAATTCCAGGACCGGGCGGCGAGGTTGAATGTCAGGCTTGCGTTGGTTGACCATGCAGGCGACTCTTCCATGGAAAACGGCGAGATCCTCAATTCGGAGGAGCACCGCACTTTGCTTACTGCGATCAGCATGGGCGCCTGTCGGACGTTACTCGTGCAGTTTGATAAATCTCATCACGTCGAAAAGTCGGAGTATCGAGCTTTCTTTGGGCAGTTTGGGAGCACGACGATGATGTCTGAGCAAAAATGGTGAGCTTGGGTTATCGTTCCTTACGTTACGTTTCTCGGCGGGCTAATTGAGTATATGCAGGCCAGATGAGTTCCGGCTGTTGGTGCAGTATGAAGACGTGCATGATGCTATGCAGGCGATCGTGTCTCTTTCTATACCGGATCAGGAGCATATGTATGAGGGTGCTAGCGTCAACTTTTTGGGTGCTGATCATCTGCAGCCGGTGTTTATAGTAAACTCGGCGAGTAAAAGTATATTATACTCGGAGGAATCTGATTTGTGATACTGCTACCTGGTTCCATCGCGGCAGAAATGGAATAGTACCGTCCAGAGATAACTGACATTAAGAGGGCCATTGTGAAAACCAGACGCTAGCCATATCGAATTCGAAGGACCGACGGAGGAGGGGGGGGGAAGCGGGAAAGAAGTCGGGCCGATGCACAGCCATGTACTTGTTCGCCTTTCATCTCAGCAACTCTCCTCGAACTCAGCGCCGTGACGTGACCCACTGTCGCGTCCTACGAATTCGGCACGACCTCCAAAGGACTACGAACTCGGGGACAAAGTGACGGCCAACTAACATTTGCCACTACAGAAATCCTCGTCTCTCTGTGATGCGATAGATATTGGTCGTTGGACCGATAATAAAGCATCGATCTTTGGCTTACTCTTCATCCAAGACAATACAGGAGTATTCAACTCGAGCCGTCGGCCTTGGGCAATCTCATCCTCTACACAGAATGGTAGGATCGACCTCCCCTTTCTCCCGTGTCAAGTGACATATCTCACTATACTTCATACAGAACCATATCTCTCCCTTCCTTCCTTCGCAGGACTTTGCCAGTCTCTGGTTCGTCCTCGAATAATGATTGGAAGCCAGCTCTGGATTTCTCACATACCATTCTGCTGTAGAGTGTCCCGCCTCCGGAGCACCAGCACGGTGCTCCTGTGCAGCCCAGTACCCGTGTGCCTGCCTGCTGCACTGACATCCCGGCCTATAGTTCGTTCTCAACAGTCCCATTCGCCACTGACGTCTCCCTAAACCTGCACATTCCTTCACTGGCTAAACATCCGAGAGATTAGTATGTATATTCTTATCTACACTTTCCACCACGCATCCGGCCCTAACTTCCAATTCACAGACCTTCAGAGAGCCGCGCATGGCGCAAGGAAAATCCTTCCGCCATTTACCTTCACCCCATCCAGGGAGAACCCACGCTCTACCATTCCCGTCGCTTCGGCCATTCAGTTCATCTCAGCGGACCCGACCGATAGAGCGCTTGGTCTCCCTGGTGTTCGTTCGTCTCCTCGCCAAAGAGCCCGATATCCTGGTTAACGCCAACGATTGCTTTCCAAGCAAAGCGTTCGGAATGGTTTTTTTTCACACCATAGCCATAGCCATTGAGATTACTGTGAGCGGTGTTCTCACAGGCTTGAGTCTATCGGGGCTGAGATTAGTTTAGTTTTGGTGTTTAGGTTGTAGGACACGAGAAAAGGGCACACACACACTATCATTGTTCCCTCTCGAATGCAGTCTCGCGTACATTATTCACCTGGGGATTGGCTCAGGCAGTTGCGAATGGCTTTCACGACATGCTTAGTGGGGTACTATGTGGTCTTGGCTTTGCCGCCGCTATTTGACTAACGATGTCGTGGCAGAGCCCCCCAGCCTTGACCTGTCCATGAGAAAAACAAACCCTGAAGTTGATTGCCCTCTACTCGACAGACCCTTCGAGTCAGCATTGGAATGCGGTGTATGCGGTTGTGAATATTCATAGTTCCAAATGATGGATAACATTACTCATGTACTTGTGGGTGCGGCAACCCAAGTTTTTCCTATTGATAGAAAGTGATCGTGGTGAAAGGTAGGCAGGGCGGGTTGTATTATAGTCTGCTGATAATATTTCAGGATGATGACAGTTACTCGAAAAGAGATGTATGCTCACATCAAGCAAGAAAGACGTCAGACCAAGTCATAATATTTTGATTCTCCAAACTCTGTATATGTCTTCCTTGTCGGACAACATGAAGACCGATAGTTTCTCGAACCTCCGGTTATACCCGGGACGCCGTTGTCCAACTAGCCAGTACTTTATCTTGTTTTCAGTGCTCCATTCACCATTGTTGCCCACCACTGTAAACGAATGATCCGTCCCATCCGTGTTTGTGACATCGAGGTTGCCGGCAAATCCTCGTACAAAGGCCGATTCAATGCAATACCCTCTGCATAGGTCGATATCGGGGTCGCCTTCCCAGCCAGTGACAATGTTATGCGGACCCATCGCCTGCGACGGAAGCTTCTCGGTCAGAATCTGCTTCCATGACGGTCGCTATTTTCTTTCTCCATCCCCAGGTCTAGGATATACAAAGAGCAATTGTTCCCGAAGGTATTAACACTGTCCAGGCATCCTCCTCAGATTGTTTCTCGTAGTACGCCGGTATAGACACCGATCCCAGAAGGTAGGCCAAACCCAACAGCGCATGAAACACATTTTCGGCACCTTGCAACTTCCGGAGCAGTGACAGTTCCTCACGAAGCCTCCTTTGTATGTCGTCTTCTATAGCTCTGTCATCACCTGTGTCCCTGCCAATTATTGTCTTCTCGCTGGTCTCCTGCAGCGTCCACGCTCCATTGACCCAACACCGATCACTGTCAAAGTCGCTCTCCTTCAAGTTCAAAGGGCCGTGGCCGTCCGAGCCCGCTCAAGTAGCACACACTACTTTCACATGGTGATATACCGCTCCGATAGTGGGCCACATCCACCTTCCACTCTTTTGCGCACGGATCCTCCTTCTTCCCACCTCTCTGCCTCAAGCAAAGAACGTCAAGCCAGACATATTCAGCGCCCATATTCAGCATCTCGATGCGGACGCGGACCAGGCTAGCATCTTTCAAGATTAAAATGTTATCACATCCGTGGCGATCCGTTTCTTCCATCCAAGCGTGTGATATCACCCAAGATTGTTGGCAACAACCCACCATGAAACCACCCGATTACTATACAGATCCTACACGCATCGAGGGGGGCATCAAACGGTGGACGAGCGTATTATTGACGAGTATGGCTTGTCGCATCTTCTGGTCCCGGGCTTTGCGGATGCGTAGTTTGTGCGCGATGGTAGTAAGGTCGGTGTACCAAACTGGACGGAGATGAACGTCGGCAGTACCAAAGTCGTAGTTTTTGGAGATGTAGCCTTCTAAAAGGGAGTATAGGGATGTGGTGTGTGCGATTGCTAGGAAAAAAACAGAGTTTCTCTAAGAACCAGGAAGCTGTGGATGGGGTGTCGAGAATGCATGATGTGCAGAGCGTAGTGTTGAGTTTGTCTAGAAGACCATCAACACCGAGATCAGTGGAGGGTGTGTCAGCGAGAGAGGATGCAATGACGGGCATTCTACTGGTGTATCGCCGTTCTTTAGGCACTGGAATGGACGATTCTGCTTTGCCAGTCTCTGTGAGGGCGGAGAGAGTAACTTCTGCGAGACCCTCATAATTAAGATGTGAATTTTTGCTCTGCGATACATTCTTTATTATTCTTCTGGTCGTGTTTTTATATGCTTACCTCTTCAACGGAATCGGGTGGGCGACAAGCGTCTGCATAAAGACGACCCCACCTCCAATTCTGATCCATTTTTCGGTTCTCCTAGTATGAACGACGTCATGAAACGTTAAAAGTACCACAAGCACACATACAATTGTACGTTCCGCAGGAAGTCATCGTGGTTTGGTACAAGTGATCGAGGCGCCTTCAAGTCTTCGTGACAAGCAGTAAAACAAAGCATCCATCATATACCGGGCGGGGCCATCAAAATGCATGGCTACCAAGAGTATAGCGGGTAATCAGCCGTACTGCTCTGCAATTCTGCGGCAAGACAGACGTCCAAGATTTGATCGCAGCCAGCCTGAAGAGGATAATGACGATGTCCGTGAACCCCGAGCACATACGGCAATTATCCAGCAAGGAACAGCGTGGGGTGATCAACCACACTTTCGCGCCATTTGCATTGGATGTAGCTTGGAAGCTCGAAATTTACAGTGCCATTTCCTAAAACCATGTTGAAAATGCTCACTGTTGGAACAGCACTGAAATCTCAACGACTGTCACGTCTTGCGGAAGTTTCGTATACAGTAGTGATGCAGATGTACAGGAAAAAGGCAGCTCGTGCGCACGTGGTTTGCTGAAAGGGGAAAGATCTCACGCCACAGACGTGGTATGTGCCGTCACATCGTGAAAATACTCTCGTATCTTCTAACCATAGCCTTGCACGTATTTATATGTTGTGAAGGAACCACGGAATTCAAGGATATACTGATTTCACTCTCTTGTAAAGATATTTTCTTGGAATGCAGTTGCTTTCCAAGTTCGAACCTCAGGCCCAGTGTATACTTTATTTTGATTGGGGTCCAGTTCTCACCGTTTGTTCACAGATATCTGCAATTATGGTTGGTGAACCCATGCCATCTAGACTTATGTGATGCATGGGTCGGGCGTCACGGTAAAGCCGGTGACCCAGCCCGGCCCAGTTCTGAAAAGCCCGACCCTGATGGCAAACTTTGGGGAGCTCTTTTACTTTTGGATTGCGCCAGAAATTTGAATGACCCCACCCGGATATTATTACGTCTATTCCCCATCAAACTCGCAAGGTGCTGCTTCAAGTTCATAGGCGTCTTGAATGGAGCTACGATCATGCCGTCGGTTGCAATAGACGGCGTTGTCCAAAGTTATCTACTATTATTCACCCCAGGATCCACGGAGGCACTCGTGATTCACCCTTGTTTCTTATATATACGCCTGGACTTGTTCATCATGGTGCTCATCCTTCTGCCAACGAAATGGGAGACCTTCCACCGGCATCCCTATCCAAAACGCAGGTACTGGGCGTTATATACGCTCCATCCTTGGGGGAGAGCTATAGAAGGCATATGGCACTCATTCACCGAGACCATCAGCTCTCTAACTTGGGGACCCTTCTTGGCTTTCTGTAAATCACGAGTCCTATGGTACGCTCGCTCTGTTTTCGTCCATAACTGTCGGTTATCATGTTATTCTTAGGACGCTGAACGGTATCAGCACGGGCCATCTCACCATAAAAGATGGAGAGGATGTCCATGAATTTGGACCAGATGAGGAGCCTCGTGTTCTGTTGTGCGTTCGTTCGGGCGAATTTTGGACGAGGGTCGCCTTGTTCACAGACCTCGGACTTGCAGAGTCCTTCATGAGTAGTATCGGTATGCTCTTTGTTCAAAATTCTGCCTTCTTCTCTGACCGGTCCTAAAGTCGACTGTAATGATGTATCAACACTAGTCAAGGTACGCAGCATCATCATTGTAGAATATCCTGCTGATGTTTTCGTTCCACAGCTGTTGATTCTCAATCGCGATCATCTATCGCAGTCGCTCAAAAGCTTTGCATCCTCTTTACTTGCACGAGGGCGATTGCTCACGTCTTACAATTTCGTCGGGAACTTGTCCAATTCTAAAGCCAACATATCCGCCCATTACGACATTGAGAATGAGTTGTAAATACCTGTTTCTCTCAGGCAAAGAAACAACTCAAGTATTGCTTCAGGTTCAGCGCTTTTCTAGGCCCAGACATGACCTACTCTTCCGCCATCTTCTCCAAGATAGACGCGGATCTCACTGGTGTTCCGGAGGACACACTAGCAGATGGCCAGATGCAGAAAATGAAGTAAGTCACTATTATGAATCTCATTATCCTGACCTTCCAATACCATCTAGGATGATCCTGAAAAAAGCCGATATCCGACCCGGAGACCGTGTATTAGAGATAGGTACAATTCACGACATCTAAAACTCGAATGCGACATTCTGACCATTTCACGTACTAGGAACGGGATGGGGATCGCTAGCCATCCTAGCAGCCGAAACTATCCCCGGTTGTAAGATCGACACTATCACCAGTGCTTCCACCCAAGCCGCTTTCGCAAGGAAACGGATCAAGGAAGCCGGGCTGTCCGATTTCATCACGGTACACGAGATGGACTACCGCGAATGTTTCATCAAACCCGAATGGGCCGGAGCCTTTGACCGTTTTATCAGCGTGGAGATGATCGAACATGTGGGTAGGGATTTTCTGACTGAGTATTGGAAGGTGGTCGATTGGGCGGTGAAACGAGACACCGGGCTGGGGGTGGTACAAGTCATCACCTTCCCGGAAGCTCGTGAGTGATTATTTATGATGGCACTGGTAAAAAAGAAAAAAAATTAACGTTGCGAGAAAGGAATCGAGTCATACCATTCGGAAGGTGTCGACTTCATGCAAAAATGGGTAGGTCGCTTTATTGCTACTACTGTTTTCACGGTCCTAGCTATAGTTTTTTTTTTCTTTAGAGTGAGCGTACCAGTGATCCTGCCGTCCAGGAGGGCTAATCAATTGACATCTTCAGTTTTTTCCTGGAGGGTACCTTCCCACACCGTGTATCCTCATGGAGGCTATGAAGGCGGGAAGCTCCGGACGTCTTACGGTCGACTCTATAGTCAACATTGGGCCGCACTACGCGCGCACGCTGCGTGAGTGGAAACGGAACTTTGTAGATGCTTGGGAAGGGACGATATCCCCGGCGCTGGTCCGGAAGTACAATCTGACACCTGATGAGCAAGAAGTCTTCCGCAGGAAGTGGATCTGTGAGTTTCAATGTCAATATACCTGGATGCGGTAGCACTGACGAAATGCATAGATTACTTGTATGCTCCATGCTTTGCTTCTGCTATGTGTTCGGGACTTGAGATTTCGTTTTGGCCAGTGGGTACAGCGAAGCAGGGTTTTCGACCCGGACTTTGGGGGATCATATCGTTACGTTTACTCGCGATGGAAACACGTCTCTTCGCTGCGAGGTGTCAAACTGTTCTTAGACATGAAGGAATAAATTTATTTGTGCTGTAGCAAAGAGGGCTTCGGCTAGGGAGATACCTGCTAGTGTTGTAGGACAGCATTATGCCCATAAGAAATTAAGATTAGAATAAAAAAACAGCATCAATTAAATTCATCACTCATAACAAAGAATAAAGATCCTCCCCTCCTTCACAGACAGGATAACCGCCCCCTGGCTCTGATCGATATTGATCGTCTCAACCTCATCCAACTTGAGCTCATCTGGAATCTCAAGCGTGCGAACCTCGCTCTGCTGGGCGAACCCACCACACCTGCTCCCATCCTCGTCATACGGCGGGAAAGTGACGAAGCGCAACCACTTGTCCTCGGCGTCCCCATCGACTTCGATGTACTCGATCCACACCGCATGCCCGAAATCGACAGCGATGAGCGGTCGAGGCCTGTCTGTCTCCTCGTCTGGCTCGGGCTCTGGCCCGTCCAGGACGCAGACGATCTCAAACGGGGTACTGACGTACCAAAGTTTCATGAGGTGTGTGTCGGGGAATTTGGTAGAGGAGGAGGAGGGGGGGCGGGGAGCGGGGAAGCACAACCAGTCGGGGTCAACATCGAGCATGGGGACCCGAAAGTAGTGTTGGGCGAGGATGAATCGGGTTTTGTGGGTTACGGGGTCGTGTGAGGCCATGAGGATGACGGTGCAGCTGACGCGAGGCATACCATGAAGTGCAGGCCACCATTGCCGGACAAAGTGCGCGCTTTCTGGGTACCAAGGAGGGAACGGGAACGGGTTTGTCGCGGCGCTGCTGGTGGATATAGCGAGGAGGCTGGGTGGATCTGTGGCATAAATCGGTATTGCGTTGTCGTCGTTAGTAGGTGATATGAGAGGAGGGAAGATGAATTTTTTGCTCAGAGAGCGAAACGGCGGCACATGTCCTGATATCATTGGCACTTTTGCCGCCGGTCTGATGTGCGCCATGAGGAGGGCCACCGGATAGAAATACTGAGATAGAGCCTCGTGTTCCTCGCAGTGAACAACGATGATCTTATCTAACAAGATGCAGGACCAATTGGATGAGACGGACTGCACGACGTCAGATATGGATGCATACAATGGATCGGTGCACTCACACATTCGATGCCCGTATCAATGAAGACGTACTCGTCCTTGCTCCAGTCCGGCAAGAGATAGAGGGCGATGGTGTTCGAGGTCGATATCCAAATGTAGCTCGACAAGAGTCTAGCAACTGGATCGAGCAGGAATACGTTCATGACCACTCCTCTCGTTTTGAAGTGCGTAACGTGATTAAACGTAGGCGAGCCATTCAGCGTACCGTTGGCGAGAGGCTCCGGGAACCGTAGCCGCATTAGGATGAATTCCATAATCTGGGTGTCATCGTACCTGTCGATAGATGAGCGAGGATGGCAAGGATATCAAGAGAAGAATAATTACGAGCCAGATGGAACCTTAGCCATTGTAAAGTAGACGGAGCGGGTCTCGAACTCGACCCTGCACTTCCACAGCTCCCACTTTTCACCCGGAGTCCATTCTGCGAGACAGGTGTCTGTCTGGATATCCCAGCAGACAACCTTGCCACTCTTGGTAGCGCAGAGAGTATAGCTGGAGGTGATGGGCGACAGCCAGTCGACCTCTTCGTCGGGGGGAGAGCGTACGATTCTGTACCACAAGGGGGGTCTAGGGTCATAAATATTCTCGTCCGAGTCTAGGTAGTTGCTGAGCGGGTGTATGCCTGGTTCGTACTGTCGCCTGATGGGCCTGGGTGCGCGTCTGTGCCATGCGTGCTCGTTGCGAGTAGCTTTGTTGACGGCGCGTATTAGCTGTGGAGTCGTCAGTTCCATAGGGCGCTGGAAGCCCTTGAGAGGGAGAGCCCGGCATCGCTTGAGCAGATCAGTAGCAAGCTGGCGGTACACCGGACGGGTAATGGAGAAGTCGTACAAGGATTTGCAAGTCTAGCAGAGTTAATCAGTAATCGCGCCTCGCTTTCCTTCCCATGGTACTCCCAGCCACTCTCGACCGCCGTGGGTGTGAATGAGCACTCACCAGATGTAGCGCATGCACGTCGTACAGGCTGAGATAGGTAGCAATGTTCAGCAGCAAGTCGTACGGCAACTTTTGCAAGCCCATTTCCACGGCCGTGGCGGATATCTGTTTCTCACAACAAGTAGAGAACCAAGTAGACAGATCCAGCATAGGACCGTCGTTGATTACAATGCTCTTTGTGGATAACGGGTAAACCCTGGATGGTGAAAGGACCGTATGGTGTCCTCGCCGTCGGTTGCAGGTAGCACAGAGCAGCAGGAAACTCCGGGGTCAACACCAACAGTGGAGTACAAGACAAGAGTTGCTCCCGTCACTGCCGGCCACCACGTGGGGCGCTTCCGAGATCGGCATTTTAAATAAATGCAAAAATAAAAATAATACTGCCAAGAGGCCGAGCAGCAACTATTTTTTAAATATATAATTGAGAATATATGTTACGAATACGAATACGAATACCATATACTGCTAAGGAACTGGCAGTCTCCAATGCTGCCTACGCCCTACTGCTGTCAAGGGATGCGGCGCAAGATCATTGGCGCCCAAGAACGTAACACTAGCCCCCTCAAACGTCGCCTCTGTCAACATCACCGCCTTCATCGCACCCAGAATACTCTCAAAATGTAACTGCAGCCCTTCAGGAGTATCGTCCTCGCTGTAGGAAACCCAGTCAATCAACGGCAGACGCACGAATCAGTCAGTTCGCCTTACCTAGATTCTGGACGAAGAGCCCCATACTGCGAGAAGAAATTCCGGTAGACCTTCATACTGTTCCGATGTTCTGGAGGCACGAACAACGAAAGGCTTCGTCGGGCGCCCAATGTGAGCGCGGTAATCATGCCTCGGGATATCCAACTAGCATTGTTATCCTGCAGGTACGACAGCTCGGCACCCCCTAGGTCCGGTCCACCTTCGCATGCGTTGAGAAATTCTTTAGCATTTCCCGACGTCACCAGTGCGATTTTCATAGTCTACAAGCATGTTCGAGTGCGAAAACACAACGAGGAAATATCGACGAACCTGCGTTTTGCGCTCATAGCGAGCTTTTAACAGAAACCCGCGAGCATCGAACGCTGCTACATGTTTGTTGAGGACGCTCAGCGTTTCTTTATCCGGGATATTGGATATCAAGACGTTCCGTTCCACCTTGCCCACGAGAAGTTCTCTCCGCGGATACCACAAAGGGAGCATATAATCATCCTTATCATCAGGTACAAATACAAACGCAGCGCCTTTCACCGCATTATACCTAGAGAAAACCTGCAAAAAGACAAAAGTCAGTCAGAGAGCCAAAGAAAAGAGCACACAACACACCTTGCAGGCAGCGCTAACATCCAGAAACCGGTACTCAAAACGCCTATTCTCAATCTTGGTCCACTGGAGTCCTTCTAGCTCCTTGAGGAGCTCCCGCTTCTCCCTGGGAGGATTCTTGATGAACAGCGTCCGCGACGCATTTTCGAGACCGAGGGCAGCGACAACGTAGGCGGATAACCGCGGCGAGGGGTCCTCGTCGAGCCGGACAGAGCCATTTCCTTCAATACACCGCTTAGCAGTACTCTCGTCGAAGAACCTAACCAGAAGGTGGTTTTTTGAGGGCACGAGGGCTTCGACTGGGCTCGCCTTTAGGGCTGCGATGATTTTGTCGACTTTGTATCCGTCTGGGAGGTTGTCGATGCGAACTGTACGCTGTGGAAATATCTGTGACGAGCTCGATAGGGAGCGACAAGCAAAGTGCAGGCGCCGAAGGGAAGAACCAAGGTGGATCATGGTAGCAGCTCCTCCTGAAAAAAAACTGAATTTCCCACGCCACAGGCGCGTTCTCAAGGCCCCTAACTCTTGATCTTTTGGATTCATGATTCTCATTCCATGCTGCGACCGTGGACACAAGTAACCATAAATGATGCTATTTCCATTACTTTTTCCTTCAGATAAATCCTTCAAGAATCTCTGCTACATCTTGACCGAAATAAGCGTGCGCGTAGCCTGGCAAGGCTAATATGAATAAGCCGAAATGGCCACGTCGCATCTTTAAAACCATAGCAAGTGGGATCATCCAGAATTGCTGTAAATGCAGCGTTCGAGTCCCAGATCCAGGTCGTAACCTACGTACACTGACACTCAGCCATCGATAAATACCGCGTTTTTGGTACACCTACATCACTATCAATGTTGGCTTTCAGAGAAGCGATATGAACCGTAAGCTTGCTGTTAAAGCCCTCGATCACAGACTTTTCCCCCGCTTGCGCTGACGTCGACTGAGCAAGCATCTACTTACACAGAGGGTCGATCAATACCCTCCCAAGTTGAAGCGCGAAAAGCTCACCAAAGGCGAACGATCAATTGGCGGCCCGGGGACGTTTATGAATAAAAAGTTCCTCGCACCAACATCACTGAGTTTTCTATCTACAGATAAGATGCAGCTTTCCTGCTTGTGACATCAAGTGGTGATATGAGTCTAGCACCTGAGTCTGTCACTCCCAGGTTTCTTTGAGAAACTGTGCTCCCACCACACCATTGAGATGCATGTATTATTTCATATTATTATAATAGTACAACAAAGGGACGTCATATCAAACCCATATGATACATTGCTATAGTACAACATTGGTGGCCCGCACCAGTTCATATCGAAGGATCGTCGTATCATCAAGATACAGCCTCCGATCCGAATCCCTAGGTCGAAGAAACCTAGCGAACATTTCCACCGAAGTCCCTGCCAGCAAGTTCCCCAGTAGCTCCACAGCCCGGTTTCCATCTGAGCCTATCCAGCCGATTTCAACACCATGGCCAAGAGTCTCTTGAGCAAAGGCTTCGTCGACCTTGCTGCCAACGAGTGTCCCCACAATGACAGAAGGATCAGGTCCATCTGGCTTTTTTATCCTCTGGTCGCCCGGAGTCTCCCCATTCACAATAGCATCCACACCATGGGTATATAGAATCAGAGTCGACTTGTGCGGTCGAAGCTCAGTGAGGTCGATGAAACGGGTACTGGGCGAGTTCAGGACATACGGCGGCGTCACATTGCAATACCGAATGCCGTCTCGGTAGCGTTGCGGTCGTTGTCCTCTCGGGAGTTTGAAGAAGAGCTCTGTCGAGAACTCTGATGGGAACTTGAGACCGTAGTCGCCCAAACCTGTAAGCATGCATGGAACAGTGAATACAGGGATAAGATGTGTCGGTTGCTACGTACCTCTTGTGTATGGTACGGCACCCAACAACTGACCATTTTCCATTATGTCATCCTTTTCCTCAGAAGGATGCATCATGGCGATGGTAATGTACTCCTTCGGAGTATGCGTGCTATGAAGAGGAAGGGGTGCCTCTCCATATCCTATTCCATCGGGGTCTTCACAGGCCAGTGCTAATCGAACATCAGACAAGGCAGAAATTGAATAGAGAATGAGGACATACCGACAGTCGAATCGCCTAGTCCGGCTAACCACATATTATCTCGATCCTCGTCAATAAGAGCTAGCGCCAGCGTGGAGCCAGAATACGCGCGCTGAAGAATGTGTTTGTTGGCGTCGACAAGGGCCACGGCTTGCGGGTAGTTTAAAGTGAAGGGGTCTGGGCACAGATTCTTGACAGCGTCGCCTATCGCTTCGTCGAAATCCTCGATCCGTTGCCTCAAAGCCTTCTTGACTTTCCTGATGAGCGTATCTCGAGACCGATTCCGACATTCCACGACAACGTGGCGCAGCTCCTCCTCGATGAACCTGGGAAGATTGGCAGCAGCATATTCAGATGTATGCGCACTACCATGGCCTGAAATTAATGGTTATTCAGATAGACCAAAGGCCACAATCAAAAGGCTCACCATCGAAGACAGCGAGAAACTTCCACCGTCTGCCATCGATGAGCCAAGAGTGCACGACAAACCGGTCTTCGTTCCTGGCACCGGGAGTTGGCTGGAATGTGACCGAGTGGACGCCGGCAGTCATGCTGGAACTACACGCGCTAACGAACAGCTCCCGCCAATGTGTGATGGAACAAACGGACGACGACATGACTGGTGGATGGTCGGTGGCTGAAAAGAAATTTCGCTGGGAGATGGAGGTAAAGTATTCGAGCCTGTAGATTTCTCACGTCAGAACATAATTTATTAAAACGTCAATGGTCGTAGCTCACCGCAGACTGAGGATCGAAAAGCTGATAATGTGACGGAATTGGAGAACAATGAAAACTGGGTGGCAAACTAGTTGAAATAAAATCAGGGTCGGTGCGGAGAAATCCGTTTATTCGTGATTGGTCTGACCAAGCTTCGTCGCGCACAATCCTGCAATTCAACGGGTCAGTCACAACTTCAAGCAAGAGCGGATCCAGTCCACTTCTTTCACTAACAGTGATGCGCCCACCGAGGACAACGAACATTGATTGCGGATAGAGCTTTTCCCGCATCGGATCAGCAACTGGGTTAGGATGAACTAATTCCGGAGCGCTCAGTTCAAGTACGAGATATTGAACGCGGAAGAAATTTACCTTTGCATTACTTTCTGGTTTAGCAGATGTCCGGAAAGAAAACGAGATCGTTCACAATTCCAGCTACTGTAAGAGACACTCTGTCGCTTCCGACCTCAATGGTATGCTTGCTTTGCTCCGCTCGTTACAATTTTCAATGCAGCATCGTCGATCGCGTAGCGGGACCTTGCACCAGAGTATTCTTGCGCTCGAAGGTTCGACTTGAAGAAAGATGACCATTTGAGGGTTATGTCAAGGTCGAGGACCCACACATTCGTCTGACAGCCCGAAGAGCGAAATAACCATGTCTCGGATACGGGACTGGACCTACGTGCTTGTGAGTATGGTCTCAATGATCAAGGGGACGTGACTGACACTCGTACCTTGACACTAAGGTAGCCTTGAGGGAAATGATCATGAAGGCCTCGTAAAGGCAGGTGGATGTGTTGGAGTCCTAATGGCGAGATCCTGGTGAGTAGGGCATTCCTTAGTGTAGCGACATCAAGCTCATTGGAAACAAGGAAAGACATTACCGTGATCGAGCAAGCTGTGGTGTGGAGGAGCGCGGTATAAGACGATTTGGATTCTGCTATGAATTCTCTACAGTCTGTCCGACGCCGATATCAATATGGACAGGAGGACCACTTGCTCAGTAAAAGGGTTGATGAGATCTGGCGTCGCGTTGCGCGCGATGAACAAAACCAAAATAGAATCACTTGATTCTTTATGGGTTGGCCCATCGGGTTCGATGACAACAGCACCAGACCACTCATACCCTCAGCCTTGCTGGGAATACAGATGCAGGTGATATCCATATCCACCATCTTCTCCTGTGCTTTACCCACCATCCCCATCATAGGTCCCAGCTGCATGACATCCCTGATCGTCCTCTTTGGTGTGGTCACCTGTGCCACACTTCTCTCAGTCTATATTCGTTCCTAGAGGGACAGGGGAATACCTTGTAAAATGCGAGATGCCATTGCTAAAAACCATGGTGAGCATGTCAGAACACGATGCACAGTCCCTCAACACGCCGACACTTCACAATCGGTCGTCCATGGATCCATCTGTTTGGCTTGATACCTGCCCTCTATCCCGAACGATGGGCTTTCTATTTTAGAGGAGTTCCCAGATGACGTATTGTTCCCCGGTACTCTTGGTGGTTCTTGTTGACTTGGCTCGGCAAACCGCAATACGATTTAGGAAGATCCCGGAGAAATGCAAGGTACTCTGGTGCATAACGTTCGGGTTGCGCCATGCATCATCAGCTAGGAGTTGTTAGGAAGGGGTCCTTAGGCTGTATTGATGAAAAGAAGACGCACCTATGCGCTGGCCCCGACGACCAGGAGTTTCCTGTCTAGCAAGAGGTCTTAATGATAGCGATGGTACGGCGCTCAGCCCACTGGAACTGACGAACGACGACATTACGATGCTCCCGCCTCACCGATAGGTCTGGAACAATTGGTAACTGCTCCTACCTCGCCGCCTTGGTCGCTCGATACCCCACATGAGCATATCGACTGATGAGTGCAGACAATCGGATGGTTGGAGCTGGCCACCCCCAGTAAAGCTACAGGTATAACTGATTTTTTTTCCTTCAGCTCCATGTACGATTAAAACAGGTTCGTGTCCGTACCCTTCCAACGCCTTTTTGGAACGAGTCCCATCGGTAGATATGGGTCCGTTCCTCCAAGGCGTTCATCAAGGAAATCCCTGTTATTCTTGCGAGAAATCGTGGGTGTTGGTTGATACGAGAAGAGGAGTGAGCGCCGTCGTCATGATGGAAGAAAAGGAGAGAGGGATGGCGACGAACTCGATGGGCCCACCCGATATCCGAGTCGTCACATTCCGAGTCACAGCCTCTTTCCTTCCTCGCCCTCAACGTCCATGCAGCCCTCCACATAAGGGCGCTCCTCTTTTCGTCGTTGCGCCTCTCTTTCCAGGACCTTTATCTCTCCAGACGTCGAAGAAGGGAAATAGTGGGAACAGGCACAGGAAATGGTTCTGTTTTCCCCTCTTCCTCGTATTACTGCTTCGCTGACTATCAACAGCAGCATGCTCGTTCCCTTTCCTCGTTCCTTGGTCTGTCTGTAATGGCGCCTAACATGCGAACTGCAAAGCGCAAAATTCAGAGTTGGCTAACCTATTGATTTGGGATGGCGAGCGTGTGTCGTCCTCGCTGCTTTACTATCCATTCAATATTGACACTGGCGCCCAGGATTTGAGCTATTCATTCTGTCAGAGCGGCACAACGTTCTCAGCATGGACGACGAAATCTCTGCATGAACTGACATAGTCAACACCACTCCGACCGGAAATTCAGATTCTCTGTCAGCGCATGGTGTGTCTGCAAAGCGGATATATGCGCTTGAAAAGACGGGCTGGGACGCGTATATTGCTCTTCGTATGATTTTTCTAAGGGTGGGTGTGCTGCAGTATCCTCAGTGAATCTCTGCTATCAATAACAATACCAGTTCTTTGCGCGACCACATCGTTTAATAACAGAAAAACCTATCCATGACGAATGTACCGCCGACGTTCAGTCCGCCGATGTGAAGGAGGTTCCGTTATTCGGTTCTCAGTCATTATGTTTTGAGAGTATACCAGCCAATACCGTCGTCGAAAACAAGTACTACAGAGTCTATAACACCATCCTTTCAAATGAACGCTTTCCTGAGGATATCTTCACTATAGGATCCCAATACACGTTATCTAGCGCCCAGACTGGCGGCATCGGTGCTATCAATTTCGTCCTCGAGTCGACGACATGCCCGTTCTCTTCCTAGAGATCAAGCCTCCCTCCCACTTTTGGCATGTCACGGTATCGACGATAGTTGAGGGTAATCAGATGAGGAGCGAAGTCCTTGGCTTGTATGACCTATGTCGTACTTGAAGGTTGTACGGGATCAATGCCATGGAAAAGAGGCTCTCCGTCTATACCGTGACAAATGGCTCTGTCACGCTCGAGTTCATTCCTACGTTGCTCGCTCGTGCTCTTCGGCATTGAGATGTTACAATACAGGAAGGCTACGTTCATGGCAATCGTTGATGTGAAGCGGATGGTTCGAAGCCTTGATCGTGTGTATTCACCCATGTAATTTCCAATCCTCTGACCCTGTCCTATGCTTTTAGAAACATATATATTTCTCAGTTTCTCTTTGAGTACTCATGCGCGCTTCTCATGACATAAGTCAATACTTATGTCACGCCATTACTAACCTCGTTAAGTGGTACTTCCCCCCTTGTTTACGCGTTTATGTGTACAATCTCTTACAAGTCACTCGAAACCATTAAAATGAGTTGCAGTCCATCTGGAAATACCAACCCGTTTCTTGGGGATGTTCCGTTCTCCTGTGTGCGTCGTGGGGTAATGATACTTCTTTGGCGTCACTGCCGAAAGAACGTCTCGCAGTCTGGCCTATAGTCTACTATTGCAGGTCCCCGGGTATTAGATGTCTAGGCATCGCGTAGCACCCGTCGTTCAATTGTTTTCGCCTGGGTCCCCAGTCGAGGTGGATGTCTACTCGCTTAGTGTGGAATGGAAGTACGAAGTAACAGGTTCGTCCTTTTTCTCTTGTGTTCTTTCCCTGATGTGAATCTCGACCATCGAAACAATATACTCTCGGGACTAGACATGACTCCGGGACCCCCATGGCTCGACGTATATAAAGGAATGCGAATTATGACCGACCCTGCCCGCCTTTGCGAAAGAAAATGTGGTCATCCTCGTTCTCACCAGCCTTCGTCTTCTCGTCACTGCAACTTTATGAGGCAACGCGTAGAATTTACTCTTCGATTCCAGTGAAACGTGCGGAATCTTTGCCCCAATGCTGCCATTGTGGTTGGCGAGGCGCGCATGCCCCGAGATGCCCTTTCCAGTAAATGAAGTTCACCCAATAGATCCTTGGCTAATGTTATTCGTGGTGCGTCTTACTTCGTCCTATGCTAGGACTTCCGCTCATCTGACGCACGTAGAACCTGCCAATCTCACACCGCGCCACTCCCATAGAATTCATAGATACAGATGTGCGCCACTGTTCCTCGCATTCTTGTTATCTATCACATATATGTATTCGCTAGTCCTGCTCTTACTATTTACTGTACTCTAGGGTGTACCAGCTGTAGAAGGGCTAGTTATATTTTGATTCCACTATTTTCGGTACCTATATAACACTCTAGCGCGTCTCCTTCAGTTTTTCATGCGAAGAAGAGACTGGAACAACGTGTAGCGTCGCATTTTAGACGATGAGTCTTGAATTATTTGCTTCGGTCTTGTCTAAAGTGGCAAAGAAATGTGTGATTATGCTAGTACGTACCACTATTTTGACATGCTCGAGACGTCAGAGCATACGCCCTTCCCGGAAGTGCTCTCTACTACGACATTGACTATTGCCTTCACGAGCCACTTGTTTGCTGTGCGCAAATGAAAACCAGGTGTTTCTGCAGTATCCTCGTCAGGTACTTATCGAAAGAACGAAAATAAATGGAACGCGTACCGTGATCCATGGCATCACACCTGCCCCTTAACTTCCACTGAGGTGGGGTCCCAGAAACAGCCTTGAACCGCCACGAATTCCTATCCCAAGACGTGTTTGATCTCTCTCTAACGCAAGAAGAAGCGCGTTTCTGTCAAGCTGTGTACAAATCGCTGTGAACAAATGTTGGGGAATATCCATCGTATACCCGTTCCTTTCCTTTCGATCGTCACTCGTTCCTGTTTACCTTACATATGTTATCCCCTGTCCTTACTCGACCACTATATAGTTCAGCCGTAGTTACCTAAATACCTCAGTCATTCCACATACGCTGTGCCCGACTGAGGTGTATATAACTTACCATGTCTGTTATTATGTTACTCACTCCCTTTCGTAGCTTCTTACTTACATCCTTCTGTCAATAACAAACATAGATGGGTTTGACGATTGGGTCGGGCTACCGCTATTTCAAATCACATCTCTGATCAATTTATGATGGCCCTCTACCACTGCTCTTCTGACTTTCTTCGGCAGCCTGGTCCTTCGGCTCGAATATACGTTTTTGATCTTTATACCCAGAAACTCCATGTGCTATTCCCCTTGTTTGGACAGTCATCACACGCGTAATTGACTTGGACCTCTCTATATTCTAACTGTGGCTCTAACACAAATCATCTGGCTTAATGTCAACATCGCCTCATTCTCTTCATGACTGGCCGGAGCTGTTCACTCAAATGTGCAGTTCCACCATTTCTGCTGGTATACACTGCGTTACATTCCAAACCACCCCTGGAACCCCCCAACGAAGACCGATTTGTCTCCCAGGAACGGGATGTGGATGGTCGGGGCACGGGGGAGACTGCACAGCTGAATATAGTGCTGCCACGCTTCCAGGAAGGATTGAAGAACTGCGCGGGGTCGTTGAGCGATACCAGGGCTGGTCCCGAAGAAGATATACGAAGCGGGTACAAGAGATCGTGAATTGTCAGATCTACTATTTTGATAAAGGACTCGGTGACGCCATCAAGGAACTCTGCCCCGATCCGTCATTGTTCGACGACGAACAAGGACGCAATCTCGCGAATGCCAACAAGGATGTATTTCAAAGAGCGTACTATGGTTCTACACTTGCAGTTGCTCTCCTCGACAATGAGCGAAACCATCTATGGGTAGCTGGACTGTGTGATTCCACTGTCGGTGCGTTACCTTCGAGTTACCCCCGATTGTACATGACTCTTTTGGAAATACGACTGGCATATACGTCACCGGAAGGATATGGTGATGGGAAGCGGCTTTTGACACTCCATAGCAAGCACACCCCTTTGGAATACTTCACAATTATGCGTCATCCCACAATAGAGAAGACAACAATCGTACAAGACGAACGTCTACTGGGAGTTCACTGAACAGGATGTTCAGTGGACATCGTCCCAAGCTAAAGTCGTCGTGCATTCCTGGGTCGACGTACTTCCACCTTATCTCGTGGTAACACTTGAATTGCAAATCCACACCCAGGATGTTTATGTTAGCCCTCGAGGCCTCAGGGAAAGGTAATTCCATTGTGCCATGGCTAGAGGTTATACGTTCCTTGTGCATTGGTTGTTGCGGACAGAGGGATGGGTTCGACTCCCACCTGGAGCGATATTTCTGCGGCAATGGTATCATTTTATGGATGTAAATCCTCGTACCGATTGGACGGAAGCTATTGTTATTGCGTTATGTAGTATCGCATCATGCTATTTTTCATTCAAGAGCTCTCTGCATGCTGGTCTAACGCATCCACAGAATGTGATAGGTCATGTAATCAAGGCCCGCGGGGCATAAATCCACTTGACCACGTCCTCCGCTCCCTCCTCGCCCTGCCCTGTCCCAAGTGCAAACACCAAACTAACATGATTATGCCCCTTGTGCGACAAACTCCTCGTACGACGTGCCTCTTGCCTTCAAAGCTACGCCGAATTTCTCCAGAGCGGGGTTCAAACAAGGGATATCCCTCTCACCAACACCGAGCAACGGCCTCGGATTCGGTACACTCGCCGAATCTAACAACGCTAATGGCACTCTCTGCTTGGCCTCAACGCCTTCACCGTAATACAGCCGGACGGAATTTTTTCATATCTGGTGGCATGTCCTCAAACATGTACGGACCGCGCCTTTGATACGGGGTTGCAAAGTGGAAGAGTACAGCAGCTCCAGGAGGGCGAGGATGGTGAACATGTTCATCCCCCCCCGCTGAATGGCCGAGGAGATAGATGTCAGAGTCGGGGAAGGACAGGTTATCCACGACCCATTGTATTGCATCGCCCTCGCCAGGGAACTGTACACAAGAGTCGACGAGGTGGCAGTCGGGGACGGTGATGAACCCGCGGGTGGCGAAGAAGGAGCCGAGGTTGTGGCAGATGATAGACGCGGGGGCCGGGAGCGTGCGCGAGCCTGTGTGGAATCCGCCACCATATGAGAAGACGAGGATCGGGGTGTCGGGCCGAGCGTCGAGGGCATGGCGGTCGGTGGGACCATATTGGTGTGTTTCTCGCGCGGTCTTCTCGATTGGCGCGCATTTGGTTTCGAGGATGGGGGACGAACGTGTTTAGTGCTATTGAAGGTTATCATCGTTGATTTCTCTCCCTTGGATCTCTGCAATTTTCTCCATATTTTGGTGGATGTCTACGACCAGTTCCGCTGCCTTTTGTGCTGTAAGTCATCTCAAATGGTACATGGAATGCTGCTATGCGATTGATGAGCTGCAGCTCGACTCGGTCGAAGATGGGCGAGAGGCATTACTCGCCGGCCAACATCAAATGGAAAGATGACGCGTGAGGAACAGGGAGTGTGCGAGCTTGTGCTGGATGAGGTTCAAGAGGGAACTGCAAATTCAAATCGGAACTGTCACAACCTTTCTGGTTTATCGCCGACAGGCAGTGGCAATTCGATGTGCGAAGGCACATTTACTACCGTCGCTCACGCGGCGTTGAATGTTATCTACATCATGGTTCCGCTTCAATCTCACTCTGTTCTCCAGTGTCATTGGCGCCCCAATTCAGCAGATTTGGCAGGTCATCTTCATTGAAGTGACTGTCTGAGTATGCACTGGACCACGGTTTCTGGACGAGAGCCTGCGTACCGTGCTCCAAAACATCTCTGGCGACTTGGTTACAAAAAAAACGCGACTCTTCGCGAACAACCAGTCTTTTGAACTCGATGAACAAGTACATAATGACTAGCTGTTTGAACTGCGCGAATTGTTTCTGATCTTTCCCTCGCCGAAGGCTTGTACTTGTACTTTGGAGATAGTATGCACTCCTCGGCGTAGACTTCCATCCCTTTGGTGGCGCATCAGTTCTTGCACTCGCATCTCCTTCACGGAAGCTAGGTTTAATTCCCAGCTAAAGGGTTATGCCATGAGTTGTCATCGTTTTTTGCAAACCCGGAGATGACTCTAGAGTCCCAGAGTCCCCATTCAAGTTCTCTCTTTTATAATCTTGTGGTTGTCCTCACTGCAGACACTTGACAGCTTGTGCTCATCGCTCAGTTATAAATCAACTTTGGGGTAATTGAAAGAGTGGGTATTTTTGTTGTATTCCCAGCCTGCGGGTTTCTTTGGTCTGTGTTCAACATCCCTTTTGACTAACTGGAAATAAGCGCCCAATCTACGGGGTTTGAATCCATGGGAGAAAATCTACATGCTGTAGTCTCCACATTTTATTCGGCTTTTTGTTCGATAGACAGCAAGAACTATTCTCCATGATTTCCCACTTGAAGTACCGCAATTTGTTCGGCAAGGTTCAGGGACCTCGTCTTCTTGTTTCTTCTAGTCTTTTCTCCCCCCTCTTTCCCCACCATGGTCTCTTTCAGTGCAACGGTTAGTGGATATCACATCGTGTGTTCGATTCTCTTAGAGATCAATGTCCAGTACGATTCGGGGCCCTTCAAACTTTTTGTCATGCCTCCGTTCCACTTCTGCTGTTCTGAATTTAAGAAGAAGATGTATGCTTCCTTGACCAGCATCCTTTGTCCCTTTGATGGTGTATCGGTTCGTACACACACATTTACCAGGTTCGACTCCAGCTACAGGGTATTCCTTGTTTGCTCGTATTTTTTTTTTTGGCAAACCCGGCGACGACTCCAGACTCCAGTTGATCATCTAGCTAGCAATCCGTGTTCACATCGACTGTCTTCGCTGAAGATTAAACCTAGCAATCACCTTGGTATCCTTATATGTGTCGGAGTGATATGGCTCGATGCATATACGTTGACTTTGAAAGCGCAAACGTAGAACCGCTTCTCTTCTATTATACTCCCACTTCCAGCTTACGGGATTTGGTGCGTTCCTTTTCACTTCACTTCAGTGTCAGCTTTGACTATCTGGAGCGAACCTACTGGGTTCGACTCCCAGCGAGAAAATTAGCAGATCTGTTATCATTTGAATTTTGGCATTTCCTCTACCTCAAGAGATATTCTTCGCAGGGGGTGCGGCAACTTATTCAGGAAGACCTCGACTTCTTCAAGTTGTTTCACACGCTACTACGGTCTCTGTCGGTACAATGGTTAGTGTACATCGCATCATGGGTTCGGTTCCCCCAGAAATTAACAACATCACCCTATCAAAGATGAGAACTTTTTCTTGCCTTTCTGTCTGTTAAATTTCTGATTTCAGAAGAAAAATGCATAGACGGATGCGGTTCGTCAGGCAACGCAGGCATGAACTTGTCTTTGTCCTAAACCCCACCATGATCTCTGTAGTGCAACAGTTAGTACTGTACATCACATCTCGGGTTCGATTCCCCAAAAGATTATCTGGAAGAGTTTTGCAACCTTTTTTGTCGCTCCACTGTCGTTTTTGCTAGGGCCCGCAAGTTCTGATTTTCGAGCAAAACACATAGGTGATTCATTACATAACTAGTTTTACAGTGAGCGCATCAACGACTATATCTAGTCCTTTCAACTCTTGGGCTAGACCGGGTGGTGCCGATAGGACTTTATGCAAGACTCATCTCCCTGGCACCCGCTCGTTCTAAATTCCTAAACACTCTCCTGCACACCCAACATTTTATAATACCCTCATTACTTGATCTGATGATGCGCAAGGCCAAGGTGGGTTGCTTCTTTTGTTACTGAGCATTGCTGATTCCTGCCAGGACTCATTCTCTGGTAGTGCATCGGCCACTACATGCTGTCGGGTTCGACTCCCAACCAGAGAGCTGGTGACATTTTGTCCATGGCTTTCTTTTGTCTGCCCTTGATAGAAGGGTGTGGGTAACCGCATGCATGCCGTTTGGTTTTCAAAAATGTGGAGTGGATATCCCTCAAGTCATCGGTTTTGACTGCCTTGTGAGCTGTGACCGCTACGATTTATCTTCAAGTGTGGCTAAGCACCGGAAGGGATCCTGATCTATTTTGCGAAGGCGAGGTGTCAGTCAATGTTTTGAATATGTAAACGGTTTCAAACCGCAAACGAAAACCCCTCATTTTTTGCAACGTGCGTATTGGCAATCATGAGTCTCAGACTCGTGGCGAAAAGACTACTAGGTGCAAGAACTGGCTGTTGATCCCATTCTCTTGAACTATTCGACGTCGCATTCAACTGGTGGCTCCATTAAAGATTTTTCAAAAGAAAGTTTTATATTCCGTTGAGGTGGCATGCTCCTCTTGGTGCGCCCCAGCCAGCCGACCAACGTGTAATGCTAGGAGGCGATCGAGTAGAATCAGCTAGCTGCGTATAATTTCATACGCATCTCGCGCTGCCCCATAAAAAGATTATAGGAATCATTTCTTGAGTTCGTCGCTGGATTTTAACTTGCAACTCTCCGGCACCCGTCTATGTAGTCCTATACCTATCACAGTCCCACCCAGATGATGGTTCGACCAAACTTAGGAACAGAAGTGTTTATGGCCCCGAGCAAGATTGACCTTCAGTCAGATGGAGCATGTAGGTAATCCAGACTTAGAGCAGTGACCTGAAGTTCATAAAAGTATAGAGGAGTGTAAACTACATTTTTGAAGACAAGGACCTGCTCGAAGAATCTCCATCGTGAAGAAAAAGCTTGGAGCCAAAACTCATGGGTCATCAGAATCCTATGAAGTGATGGCTAAGATAAGAAGTGGCACAGCAATGAAATCAAATGCAATCCTTCATCAACATTCATTTTGAATGTGTGTCAGTGATGAACAGCAACAACTGGATTGATTGTGTCAAAATAGATGGCAACAAGGCCCTGGATGAGGTCATGGCTGGTGGTATACATAACCAGAAGTTTCAGTGCCTGCTGTTATCTGCTCCCACTATCAGAATTGATGTTTATAAATCATGAGCACGTAGCACAAAGCAAGACACACAGGATGTAAATTGAAATGCTCCAGGAGTTATACCATATTAGTTAGTGGTGATCATCTTATCATTCATTCTAATATACTCTACATACCTGGTAGCATAAAGGCACTGTAATGCTGATGCAATTGCCGTGAACATTAGTTCTTACCCACTCGACCCTGAACCGCGAGTTCTAAAACTCTGGTCTGGAAAAAATCATGAAGTCCTAATAGTTCTCTACTCGGAAAATAAATGTGTTATTGTCAAGGTTGTGAACAAGAGTAGATGTGCGTGATGATCCGATCGGGCCGTGGACAGTCCGAGGTTAGGGTTTACCGCTATTGATCAATTGATGCTGGCCCTTTCCCTTTCCTGCTCTTCTGACTTTCCTGAGCAGCCCTGTCCTTTGGATCTCAGAGATACGTTTTAACCTTTATACCCGGAAACTATTCCCCTTGTTTGAATAGTCATCACACGTGTAATTGACTTGGACCTCTTTCAAGTTTCTCACTGCCACAAATCATCTCGCTTAATGTCGGCATCATCTCGTTCTCTTAGCGACTGGCGAGAACTGTTCACTCAAATGTGCAGTTCCACCATTTCTGCTGGTATACACTGTGTTACATTCCAACCCACCCCTGGAACCACGAACCAAGATCGATTTGTCGCCCAAGAATGGGATGTGGGCGGTCGACGATGGAAATTCCTTGCCGTTCTCGATGGTACGGACTTGGTATTCCCATTTCCTTTAGAAGATATTGATAAGAAATCGTATTTGCAAGGGCACGGGGGAAACTTCACGGCTGAATATAGTGCTGCCACACTCCCAGGAAGGATTGAGGAAGAACTGCGCGGGGTCGTTGAGCGATACAAGGGGCGGTCTCAAAAAAGATATACGAAGCGGGTACAAGAGATCTTGAGTCGTCAGATCTACTATTTTGATAAAGGACTCGGTGATGCCATTAAGGAACTCTGCCCCGATCCGTCATTGCTCGACGACGAACAAGCTCGTAATCTCGTGAATGCCAACAAGGATGTGTTTCAAAGGGCGTTATCTGGTTCTACACTTGCAATAGCTCTCCTCGACAATGAACGAAATCACCTATGGGTAGCTGGATTGGGTGATTCCACTGTCGGTGCGCTACCTTCAAGTTGTCTCTGATTGTATATGACTCTTTTCTAATCCGCTGGAAATAGGACTGGCATATATGTCGCCGGAAGGATATGGCGATGGAGAGAGGCTTCTGACCCTCCACAGCACGCACACGCCGTTGGAATACTTCACGATTGTCATGCGTCATCCCACAACAGAGAAAACAACAATCATACAGGACGAACGTCTACTTGGTATTGCCCTACCTACCCGAGGTTCGCTCTACAATTATCTTTTCGAATCCTCCTGACCGTACTGTGCCGCAGGATTGGGCGATTACCCTCTTAAATTCGAGCCAATATACACCAGCAAATTGTTCTTCATGCTACCGTGTGAAAGCGAGGATTTTTTGACCAACATCCAAGCCAACAACAAGACCCCTCCATATGTCATGAACATACCTGACACCCGTTTCATCGATCTCGCTCCCCTTCGGGATCGCAATCCAACTTTGGTATTATTCACAGATGGCGTCGACATTATCGTTGATGGCGAAACTCTCGTGAGTAAAAACGAGTCACGCACCTTAGATCCGGCTGTCGTCGTCGGTAAACTATTAGGCCGCGAAATCGACCCTGGATACGCTCAGGAAACTCTCGGGCACGATGCTGAAGCGAACTGGATGGGTTCCTCTGAGAAGAGGAATCGGGCCACAGAATTACTGGGAAATTTAATGGCAGGCACTTCGAAAGAGACGTTTGCATCCTTTCTGGGGCCGGCGGAGCGCGGGGAATGGGATGACAGCTGGTATTTTGATGATACTACGATTCTTCTCTACGACCTTCAAGAATCTCAGCCATGAGCTTTCTTCTAACGTTTTATATAGTTGCATATTATTGACAGACAATAATAGAAAATGGAGCTTTATACATCGCTGATCATATGTGCACAATACTTCTAGCCACTGGATCTACGAAAAAGATATTTACTAAAAGGACATCCCATCCAGAGAGGGGCCTAAATCTAACTAAATGTCATTCATAGCTTAATTGCGAGCAAATCCACTTACAATCATTAATGTCGGCTTCTGCTCTCCCGAAGAATCTTAGTCACATCTACCATGGCGGGACTCGGGGTCGATGGCATAGATACAACGTTTGCGGGCCTTGAATACAGGGTGGATAATATTCCTGTATTCAAGGTGGTCTGGCTCAAAGGCGGAGGAGATGGGAAATCAACGGCTTGTGGGGTTGCTCCATCAGACGACGCTGTAGTGGCGGGGCTCGTCGGTGCCGTTGAGATGGAATTGTTTGCAGATGATCCTGAGTCGGAGGACCCGGAGCTAGATAAGCTGGAAGATGACCCGTTCGACATGGGTAAGAGGTCGTTGTGGCTGGTTGGTGGCTGGGGCTGATGGATGTGGCTTGTGGAAGGGTCCAGGATCACAGACCCTGAAAACGCAGCCATTTTATAGTATCATGGTTGAGTCATATTTGTCTTCCCTGTAGGTTCATGTCAGCTGCATGGCATGTACGGATCATTTCGCGTTCATGTTCTTCGGCCTGAGATGGGCAAGGGTACAGGGTACATTTGATTGTCCAGGATACGGGCCATTTGGGGTTGCCAGTGCTCTGATCACAGTTGAAAATGGTAGCGAGCCTGATAAGCGAATGCGAATGGTTTCAATGGACGCGGCCAGATAGTGAGTTGATTGAAAAGGTATACCCTGAATGCTAAGCGCCCAAAGTCTTGGTATGGTAAATAGGATCAAACGGGCAGCGGGGTGATATCGCTGTCCATCACGAACATGGTTTTGTTCATGAGGATTGCCGATTTTCCATTCATGATTTAATACATGTATCTCTTCAATTCTGGATGGATCTCGGGCTAGCTAAAGTCATCAGTCATTCAACAGTGATCGCTGGTGCTGACAGTGCCAAATGCTTTGGAAGAACAGTAGAGAAGGTATACACTACCGCCGAGAAAGAGTATCGTTTATAGAGTAGAAGCGAGGTCATAAACAACAATTGTCGTTTCATCAAAGTAAAGCTTCTCACCCCATTCTCCGCGCTCCGTAGGCCCCAGAAACTTGGCGAAAGCTTCTGTTGAAGTCCCCGCCATCAAATTTCCCAGTAATTCGGTGGCCCGGTTTCTGTTTGGGCCCGTCCAATCGACCTCGACGCCGTGCTCGAGTGTCTCCTGGGAATAAGAGTCATCGGCGCGGCTGCCTAAGAGTTTCCCAACAACAAAGGCAGGATCCGATTTATTCAGATCTTCGAAATCCTTATCAACCGTTGTCTCGCCATCTATGATGATATCGACACCGTCCATGAATAGAAGAAGTTTTGGTTTACGATGTCGAAGAGGAGCAAGATCGATGAAGCGAGCATCGGGAACGTTCATGACATATGGTGGCGTTTTGTTGTAATGTTGTGCACCGTCAAGGTAGCGCTGGGTCCTTTCTCCGTGGGCAGCTTGAAGAACAACTTGGTAGAGAAAATAGACGGGAACTTGAGAGCGTGGTCGCCAAGACCTATGAAGATGTGAATAACGGGAAAAAGGTCTTACAGGTTGCGGTATACCTCGAGTAGGAAGCGTAGTGCCTAACAGCCTTTCGTCTTTCATGATAGTATCCTTTTCTGCAATATTCCTCGGGATTATGTGTACTGTGAAGGGTTAGCAGCATTTCTCCTTCTCCTAGTCCTTCTTCGTCCTTAAATGCGAGCACTGAATCATATCAGAAGGTTCAGGACCTTTGAGCGATCGCAAGATGACAACGTACCAACAGTCGGGTCTCCGAGTCAGGCCACCCACACGTTGTCTTGCTCCTCATATAAAAGAGCGACAGACAAAGTTGTGCCAGAGAATGCTCGCAGGAAAATGTCCTGGTCGGCGTCAACTAGAGCCTGAGCTTGTTCATCATCCAGTGACGACGGGTCAGGGCAGGGATTTTTAATAGCGTCGCCGATTTCCACGTCGAAGTGGTATGTCCCACAAAACGAAAGCTTATTTATGCAAGTTATGAGAGTTTCCCGAGACTGATTTTAACATTCTGGGAGCGCTTTACGCAATTCTTTTTCTATCCTTTCCGGGAAATTGACAGCACTGTAATCTGCAATGTATTCTCCTCCATGTCCTTAAAATTCCAATAATAAATTAGTTGCGTATTCAAAACGTGGCGCAACGGAGCGTACCATCGAGAACAGCGAGGAACTTCCACGTCCGGCCTTCTATGAGCCATTTTCCCACAACGAACCGGTCTCCATTCGTAGTCCCAGGAGTAGGCTGAAAGGTGACGGAGTGAACCCCAGCGGTGATACTAGAGTTACATATCGCGTGAATAGATCCCGCCAGTCTCTGAGAGAACGAGTCGACATGGCTAGTTACTGTGGGGGGTGGCGCAATAAGATACGTCAAGCTTTCTGTCAGTGAATTTTTGTGTGCATTGCTCAGCAATTGACATCTGCGCGTCGAAGCTGAGAGTACAAGGTTGGACCAAGTTAAAAGCTACAGCTCTGAAGCATGTGGCCGCCAACAACCTGAAGGATATAATCAGCATCATGGTTGATGGGCCAGTCTACGGCGAACACCGACCCTCCTTGATTGGCCCAAAAAACGTTATCAAGTCAGGATCTTCGGGCCGAAGGCTCAGCGCTCCAGGAGCACGCCACGACCAACGACTCCGGACTTCGTTTTAATCTTCAATTATTCTATTTTATCCATATTGACGCGATAATTTTCTACCAAGATACGAGTCTGATACATGATGGCACATGGCAAATATTCAAAAGCTTTCTTGCCGCGCCCAAAGGTAATAATGCCCATCACCTCATCTTGTCGTTTCTCATCAACCTCTTATCGTACATCCTGATTCTTAAGACATGGCTTCAGGGCACTGGCTGAAAAACACGACACCGGTATTCTTTTATAAGCACGAAGATTGGATCGTCCCTAACTATTTGCAGGGCAATCACGGGGATTCTCGGTCCTGGTAATTTAACTTTTTTAATATCGATCAGAGCGGCCAGGTACCTCTGTACGAACCTGTTAATTCCGATAAGAATATCTATCGACGGACAGACATGTTCTGAGTCAACTTGGACAGATGAAATACAAGGGCGATTATTTGCGAGTTGCCGGTACGAATTCGCGTCTTCTTTCCTCCGATATCCATCCGCTGAATAATTCTTTCAGATGAACTGTTTTATTGACGGGACGGTCGTCCTTTCAAGTCTTGATTGACAAGTCCGCAGATTTTGAATCCTGCACCGTGTCATTTGCTCCATCTATGAAATCCGAGAGATGAATGGCACATCCCGACAATAGAGCGCTGATGATCCACTGAGTTCTTCATGAATGTCAAGGTCTCGACCTCACTCTCAGGAAACGATATGCGCGCTGTATGTGGGTCTATGGCGTCAGTGATAGCCTGGACGCGAATCTCGGCGACAGCAATCAGCCTATAGCGTCCGACATCAAAGTCTATACTTCGCACTAACCTTAATATTAGGTGGTACGACCTCGCTTACTTTCTCACATAATTACTTACATGTCGTTGGAAACCACAAAGATGACCTGCGAGTCTATCTGGACCACCGAATCATTTGTTAAGGATATTCCTCTCTTCGTAACACTTCTGTGGCGTCACCTAACTCCACTGCCGAAAGAACGACTCAGTCTGGACTATAGTCTACTATTGAAGATCCCCGGGCATTAAAAGTCTAGGCACCGCGTAGCACCCACCGACGATCCGGCGTCCAATTGTTTCGTCTGGATTCAGAGTCGAGGTGAAGGTCTACTCGGTTATAGGGTGGAAGTGTAGATGGCTGCTAAGAAACAGGCTCGTGTCTTTCCTCTTTTGTGACTTCATTTTTCTGTGCTTCTTCCTTGACGGGAATCTCGAGCGCCGAAACAATGTACTCTCGGGGCTAGACATGCCACCTCTGATGTCTCCGGGACCTCCCATGACTCGACTCGACGTATATAAAGGAACGCGCATTGTAAATGCTTTACAGACCAAACCTGCCAGCCATCACAACAAAAAGAAAATGTGCTCATCCTCTGCATACCCATCTTCATCCTCATCCTCCTTCGTCTCCTCATCGTTACGACTTTGCGAGATGAGGCCTGATATTTGCTCTTCGACACTAGTCAACCGAGCCGAGTCTTTGCCTCAATGCTGCCACTGTGGTTGGCGAGGCGCACATGCTCCGGGATGCCCTTTCCAGTAAATGAAGTTCATCCAATAGATTCTTCGCAATGTTATTCGTGGTGCGTTTTACCTCATCTATGCGAAGGCCTTCGTTCATCTGCCTCACATAGAAGCCGCCAATCTCACACCGCGCCACGTCCATAGAATTCATAGATACACATATGCACCACTGTTCCTTGTTTCTTCGCTTTCTTGTTATCATGTATTAGCTAGTCCTACTTTTATTCTCTACTGTACTCTAGGGTATACCAACTATAGATGGGCTAGGTAGATTTTCCTATTACACTATTTGCAGTGACTATACAATCCTGGCCAGCCACTATTCTGATTCGACACCGACTGTCGTTGTGTTAATAAATGGTAGGCGCCATAATCCATGAATTTCCAGAATGGGGGATTCTACGGTAGAGAGTTCATCCTATTTACTTGTGTCTATTCTCGTTCTCGATCAGACCCCATTAGCATGTCATGGACTTGCATACCCGATGGTTTTGATGACGGACGATGTGACTCGAGGTGATATTGATGTCATGGATGGGCAACAATGGTAACTGCATGATGGATGTACTGTGAATAGCTGTAAGCGCGTTGTTTCTCTAGCCATTCTTAGGCCGTTTTTTTGGTTATAGACTAGTCTTCAGGTGGATATCAAGGTGTCGTCCGAGTCGGGCTCATGTTACCGGTAAAGATGCATATCCCGTTACCTCTGGTCTTATCTCAATCCCTTTATTCAGCGAGCGCAGTAGGTGGCGGCTGGCGGAAGACGCATGTCAACTTAGTCCCTGTCTCCATACCAATTAAAAATAGGGTTCATGTCCGTCCCCTAGGCCCTATACCATCTCGGTGCCGAAATGTAGGTGCCTGTAGGTGTCTTTTGTCTTCAATATATCTTCTTTTGTGCATCCACCAGGTCAATCATAACTGCAGTGACTCGATTAGTTCCAGTTCCTTTGCAGGCTTTACTAATTGATCTCTGTGCCGGACTGTATGTTCGATTGTAACTTAGTCGGAGATTCGCAAAATGCGAGAGTCATGTCCCTTGTTGTTGCCACATTCGACGTCTGGATCTGAGTCGTTCAAGCTATTTACGTGTCGGTGTTCTTCGCAGAAAATGCCTATCCACCGGTAAATTCAGTGCAGAGCTTAGTTCCTCCCTGCCTTATCGGCTTGATGATTTCATTATACTGCTATTCCGATACTACTGAATAGGGCGTAAACCCCAGTTGGAAATCAGAATGTATCACAGATTTAGTTGTTTCGTTTCTTTCGGAGATCCACACAGGGAAGACCAACGTCGCAGATTTAGAGCGCCGTTTTATTTGTCGAAACATAATGATTGACAGTCACTCACTCTGACTGTATGAGCTAGTCATGCCAGATGATTAATAATAGTTTAGGGATTGGGATAGCCGAAATGAAAGATGGAATGAAAAATGACAAGCGCAAAGCGGTTACAGCGGGGATTCATGAAAAAAGAGGTGATAAAGAGAAGTCCCCGCATCTGTGGGATACTGAGAAAAATGTTTTGGGGCAGGGGCTGCCACACACCGCGCCCGAGACCGAATGTCTGCTGCCCCGGGTCAAACTCCCTATTGACGGGCCCGGCGGCATGTAAATGTCACCGTCGGAACGTAAATCGACGGAAGTGACTGGTGTCAGCTGAGCATTATTGGAAGACAGAGAACCCGAATTCTAGCACAGGTACAATGGGTCTTGGTCCTACTAGCAAGGGCTGGAAAAAGAAATCGGTAGTGAGGAGACATCTTGGGGAGATTCTAAGTGGCGTTTTCAAGCTTCTAGGTTCAATTGTTCTGAAGTTCTGGAAGCGGAAAAGTCTGTGGCAAATCCAGATTGTCGATAATCACAGCGGTTGCTAGCTCCCACAAATAAGAATGGTGGCAACAGTATCGTAGAGTAATTCTGCCGTAAAGGATGGCAGGAGCGGGGGATGATAGGTAACCCGTGACCAGGAGCATGGGGTACAGGCTGAGGATTAGCGGCCTTCCTACGGGAGTGTGGAGACAGGAGATGTGTTCGTCTCCGTAACGGAGTCTTTGTGGCCCGTGCGTTACGCATACGTTCCAGTAGTGCTTGAGAAAATTGATGGTGTGGTACGGAACATAGGCTCTCTAAGATAGTCAGCGATGGGGTAGTATCGTGAACTCTGGGTAGCTAGCGATGCACCACATGTAGTAGGGAAATACTGGACATGGCAGAAAGAGTAGCTATGGAATAGTTGGCGACTGGCGTCCAGCGTTGCTAGCTTGGACATTGATTGAAGTAGCTCAGTGGTAGAGGCGAAGGAAAATCCCGGCCCGAAATCATTTTGTTGGCCAGCCATATGCAAAATAACAAACTCAGAGTTGAATATTTATCCCTTGCATTTCCAATGGAGATGCATCTTTCCACCCAGGGTTCCAGCCTTAGCCATCTCTCGAAGTGTATTTACTGCAGCACTGTCAACTGGTTCTCAATAATGAGTGTATTCAGAGGTTTGTGTTCAATCTTGACAGTCTTGAAATAAGGTAATTCAGCTCCCAGATGGTGGTAAAATGGTTGATTAAGGTTTTTCTGCACCATGATATGCTACACATGAAATATCTGATGTTTTGTTTCATGCTAGACATACCTGGAATAAACAACCCCACCATAGACTATTTCTCTCAGTGACATTATCAAAATCACAAAATACCACCTACCACTTTCTATGAAAGTCATATTTTTAGCTTCTGTTCATCCATTCTCCATCTCTGTCTTCTACAGAATCTAAGCAGTATCAGTGAGATACTTGTTTTCTTGACACCAGCTTGGCTGCTTATTGATAAGTATCAAATCAAACCATTATGTCTCCATTCTCAAAGGCTGATGGAAATAATTTTTTTGTCAGGATTAAACCAATGTCTGACACCAATTAACAGTGTGACTTTGCAGTGCTGGATAGAGCTCCTATATCCTGGCAGTGAGCTGTTCTGTCTGCCCCATTAATGGTATACCAAATTAGAATCATATAATGTGCTGTAATGCCCAAGAGAATTCATTAGAGCCACTTCCAACTGTCACCCATGGCTGGTATCACACAAGTAGGGGAACACTGATATTCATCTATACATTATACTGACACTTATGCTGTACAGTGTTGAAATCAAGAATGATTAAGCATGATCAATTGTACTAAATATAGTATGCCAGACTTGTCATCAATCTGAAAAAGTCTGAAAACTTCAAGATGATCAAAGTACTCAAGTTAGCTCATTGTTGACTGAGCACAGAGACTCTGGGGCAGTGTAGAAACTGACTAGAATACTATAGAAACACATCACTTGTAGTATATAAGTAGCTAGAATTTTTCCAATATGAATGAACTTGTTACAAACTCCAACTACAGTTGTGTAATATAACTCTTCTATACTCATCTACAACTCTTATCTCAATCTCAAACCTCCATACATAGATGGCTGTGAAGAAAGATTTTTACCTCAGATTACAATAATGCCCAATCCTTCTTCTTTAGTGGCCATCAAGTGAACTTTAACACATGATCTCAATTCAGAGACTATAGTATGTTTCTTGTTATCTTCTACTGGGGGCAAAGTCACACCTACTCATAGTTTGATATCATCCCATCAGTGGCAGAGAGGGTTTGGCAATAAGACCAAAACCAATGCTTTATTACTGGAACCATATCTCAGAAAGACACTGATTTAGTATGGATATTTCTGCTCTCCTTTGCTTATATAATAAGGCCAATTTTTTCATTTGAATTCACTCAGTGTTAAAACTATTTTTAGTCTCTTTATCACTGTATTAATATTTATGTATTTTTACTTCTAAATATAGAGAAAATATTCAAAGTTTCTTTTAAGTATTTTTGCAGAAAAAATAATATAAATATCTATAACTTTTCATTATATTTTGTAAATTTTGCATAAAATAGTGTAATTTTTAAAATATTTTTTGTACTTTTCTTAGTGAAAAAACTATTTAAAAAAATTTGCATATTTTCTATGTATTTGTGGATAAAAATACATTAATTTTATCCAGCATATCCACTTTGTAATATTGCATTTCTTCACAAGAACCTCATCTCTGTTTTTCTGCACAATACTTTCAGCATCAATGCTAATGTAAGCATATTTCTGGTGTATCCTCAGCTTCAGACTGATTAAAAAGATCTTAGGATGGTCATTATATCTTAATCTTTTGCAATTTCAGATCTGCTCAAAACATTCTCCTGTCCCATTCCTGAATCACCCTCAACAAGGGATTGAATTGCTGATAGCTCAGAGAACATTTTTAGATCTCTCTCAAAGTAAATATTTGTGAGAATTATCTGTCCACTGCAGTTCTAGTGTCATGATTTTAGCCTCTAAATTATGCTCAGCCAAGGCTTGGTTTGAGGCACTGAAACAATAGCTTGGTTGAGATTTGTTGGGATTTTGCCAGAAAGTTCTAGAAAGGCAATTTAGCATCATGCCAAGAGTTCATGAGTAAGCTCAAGCTCAAGAGAAAGTTGTAATAAATTCTAGACATAAGCTTGGAGAGTATAAATACAAGCTCTGTAGAAGCTGTAGAATAATAAGTTCATTCTTTCTGGCCTTACCAGCCTGGAGTCTACCCTGTGCAACACCCAGGATTTCCAACAAGATTGCTAAGACTTTTTTATACAGTATTTAAGTCAGTCTATCAACCTCTATTCTCTTATTATCATCTTATACATTCTTATTCTCATTCTTCTGCTTTACCTTCAGTTAGTGTCAGACTCTGGCTGTTGCAGTGCATTGTATTTGTGATTGTTTGATTGTCATCTGACTTTGAGACTCTCCTGAACAAATGTTTCATTGACTTTGCTGCCAATGAGGTTCCATACAGCTACAGCAGGATCAGGTCCATCCAGTTTTTTTAGTCTCCTATCAACACTATTCATAATGGTATCAATACCCTGAGTAAAAAAAACCAAAGTTGACTTATATGATCAAAGCTTAGTGAGGTCAATGAAATAGATGTTAGGAAGTTCAGAACATATGATGGTGTCATGTTATAATGCCAAACACTATACCAGTAGTGTCATGGCTGTTGTCATCTTGAGAGCTTGGAGAAGAGTTCCATCAAGAATTCTGGCAGTAGCTTGAGAATGTAATTGCCAAAACCTACAGTGAATACACATAACAAAAATGCAACAGTTGATGCATACCTCAAGTATATGATATGGCTCCTAATAGCAGGCCATTTTCTATTATGGTCTCCATTTTCCATCAATTTCACAGGATACATGATTACAAAACAAGGGAAAATTAAGTTCTTGGCACTAGTTCATACTGAAGAATCATCATATCATCTCTTTGCCCATATTCTGCAGGCCCAAGAAACTTAGCAAATGTTTCTGCTGAAGTCTCAGCTACCAAGTTCCCTAGTAGCTCTACAGCCTGATTTTCATCTGGCCTCATCCAGCTGACTTCAATGTTATGGCTGAGTCTCTTGAGCAAAGGCTTCATTGACCTTGCTGCCAATAAGTGTCCCTATAATGACATCAGGATCAGGTCCATCTGGCTTTTTCATCCTCTGCTTGCCTGGAGTCTCCTCATTCACAATGGCATTGACACCATGGGTATATAGAACCAAGGTTGACTTGTGCAGTCAAAGCTCAGTGAGGTTGATGAAATGGGTGCTGGATGGGTTCAGGACATATGGTGGCATCACATTGTAATATCAAATGCCATTCCAGTAGTGTTGCAGTCATTGTCATCTCAGGAGTTTGAAGAAGAGCTCTGTTGAGAACTCTGATGGGAACTTGGGACTATAGTCACTCAAACCTGTAAGCATGCATGGAACAGTGAATACAGGGATAAGATGTGTCAGTTACTACATACCTCTTGTGTATGGTACCACATCCAACAACTGACCATTTTCCATTATGGTCTCCTTTTCCTCTGAGGGATGCATCATGGCAATAGAAAGATACTCCTTTGGAGTACATGTGCTATGAAGGGTAAGGAGGCCCTCATCATATCCTATCCCATCAGGATCTTCACAGGATATTACTAATTGAACATCAGAACAGCCTGTCTTTGCATAAAGAATAATGACATACCAACAGTTGAATCACCTAGTCCAGCTAACCACATGTTCTCTCACTCCTCATCGATAAGAGCCAGCACCAGCATGGAGCCGGAAAATGCTCGCTGGAGAATCCCTTTGTTAGCGTCGACAAGAGCCACCACTTGCAGGTAGTTCAGAGTGAAGGAGTCTGAGCACAGATTCTTGACAGCGTCGCCTATTGCTTGGTCGAAATCCTCGATCCGTTGTCGCAAGACCTTCTTCACCTTGCTGACGAGAGTATCCCGGGATCGATGTAGGCACTCCTTGACGACTTCGCGCAGTGCCTCCTCGATCAGCCGGGGAAGATTGGCGGCAGCATATTCGGCTGTATGCGCACCACCATGGCCTGGAACATGATTTAGTCAGATAGAGCCAAGGCCACAATCAAAAGGCTCACCATCGAAAACAGCGGGAAATTTCCACCATCTGCCATCGATGAGCCATTCTTGCACGACAAATTGGTCTTCGTTCCTGGCACCGGGAGTTAGCTGGAATGTGACTGAGTGGACGCCGGCAGTCGTTCTGGAACTCCATGCGTGGATAAACAGTTCTCGCCAATCATTGATTGAACGAAAAGACGTTGACATGACTTGTGGGTGGTCGGTAGCTGTAACGACAGAAAAGACGCTTTGTTTGGGTGCTCGAACCTTTATGTCTCTGAAGTCAGAACATAGCTTATTAGAAAGTCAAAGGCTGAAGCTCACCAGAGATTGAAGATCGAAACCCGATAACGTGACGGAATTGGAGAACAATGCGAACTGAGTGACCAACTCGTTGAAATAAAATCGGGGCCCGTGCGGAGAAGTCCGTTCATTTGTGATTGGTTCAACCAAGTTTCTTCGAGCATAATATTACAACGAAATGGAACAGACACAACATTACACAAGAGAGAATCAAGTCCACTTCCTAGACTAGCAATGCGAGGACAGACCTTGATCGCCGAAGCACTTCTTCCAGCTGCTAGACGCTGGGTTAGAATGAACTAATTCCTCTAGCAGAGCGCTCAGTTCCGATATGAAATATTCAATGCGAGAGGAATTTACCTTTGCTTATCCTTCCTGGTTTAGAAAAGAAAATGAAGACTCAAAGTCATTTACAATTCCAACAACTGCAAGAGACGCTCTCTGTTACTTTCGACATCAATGATATACTTATTTGCTCCGCTCATTGCAATTTTCGATGCAGCATTTTCGATAGCCTCACGGGGTCTTGCCATAGATTATTCTTCGGCTCGAACTTTCGACTTAACTGTTCGAAGGCTATGTCAAGGCCAAGGACATAGTTATCAGACCCATTTATCTTCTGACAATCCAACAGCGAAATAACCATGCCTCGGATAGGGGACAAGACCTATGTGCTTGTTGATCAAAATGATCAACGTGATGCGACTGATAATCATTCCTTGACGTCTTGCGTGTATTATGATTCGCCAACGTAGCATTCAGAGAAAGGTACATGGACGTCTCATGCGAGAAGATTAAGACCATCGATACACCTTTAAACTGGAGAGACGTACTGATGTTCTGCGAGGCAAAAATCTCGATGAGTCCTCGCTCTCTCGAGAAAAAGCATGGAACTCACTGGTAAGAGAGAAAGGCATGATCGTGACCAAAAACGTTTTATGTGGAGGGGCGATTTAAAATGGTTCGTAGGACGAAGCGACTATGCACCCAGTCGACTAACAATGGTGCTGAGATCTATGCAAAATACGGCCGGAAGGCCCTAGACGACTCGCCCGCCCGCAATACGCGCGAGTGGGTGGGGTAGTCGGTTGTGGCCTATCAGAAACAGCGACCTGTATGAATGGGAGGAGTTCTTGATCAGCAGAATGGTCAATGAGACCCAGTATCGCGCACGACGCGATGAACCTTCCAACAGAGAATATTTTGGTTCAGCATAGATAGGCTCATAGGAGCTGATAATGATGCCAGGTCACTCATATCCCTTGCCTCAGCCTCACCAGGATCTTCACACAGACAATATCGGTACCTGCTTCCTTCTACGCATACCCACCATCTCCTACCATCTCTATCATGGGTCCCAACTGGATCAGCATCCACATACCTGCATCAGACTACTCTTAGTCCACAACCATTGGCGAAGAGGGGATACTGCAATACCTTGTAAAATGCTGTGCCTCATCCCCAGAAAACAGTGCAGAGTCTAGAGACCGCCGAGCATGTCAGAACGCGCAGGCGTCAAGTCCAGTAGACCATCGCGTATCCAAACATCCATACGATTTGGTTTCACGCTTGCTCTCTGTCCCGAACGATGAGCCTTCTGTTTCTGGGGAATTTTTGCATACGATGGGCCGTTCCTTGATACTCTCGGCGTCTCCTCGGTAGACCGCCATACGACGAAGGTCCCAGGGAAGCGCAGGGTACTCTGACGCACGTCATCGCGCCATACATCATCAGCTAAGATTGCTGTGAGGAAAGATTTTGGGGCTGTATCGATGAAAAGAAGACGCACTGAGGTGCTGGCTCCCGATGGCCAGGGGAGATTCCTGGCTAGCAAGAGGTTAGGATGATAGAAACAATACAGAACTCAGCCATTGAGACTGGCGAACGACGTCGACACTGACGCTTCCGCGGAGCCACTATGACGGCGGTATCTGCATCCTCTTTGGCTGCTGGATATTCCAGCTGGCTCAGAGTGAGCATATCGACTGATGATGAGCGCAGAATTGTTGAGACCGTCCACGTCGAGACAGACTGCAGGTATAGCTGAAAGTTCTCCTTCAGTTCCATGTGCATTTATACTGATAGCGATTTCGTATCACGCCCTCTACGACAACGAGCAAGATATCCCTGTGGTTCACCCTCTTGCTCTTCAAGTAAATCTCAGCAATTGCTTTATACAAAAAAAGAACGGCTGAGAGTGAGCGCTGTTGTCGTGGCAGAAGCAAAGGAAAGAGATCACGGCGGCAAAACCCTCAAATTCACACGCCACAAGCGCGTTCCCGGGCCCCTAACGTCGTTTCATTTCATGCACAAATGATACCAATCTGACCAGTTTTCCCTTTAAATGAATCCTCCAAGAACCGTTGCGACGTCTTGACCGAAATAAGCGTGCGCGTAACCTGGAAAGGCTAATATAAGCCTAAATAGCCACCCTGAACAGATTCACTCACTTGACGGATGTAAATTGTTGCTATCGAAAAGATCAGAAAACTAGCCAACAAACATAAATAAATCCTGCTCACCCCCAGAAGATATCTGGCGCATCTCCGTAGGTCGTCGCGTCTTCGAAACCATAGCAAGTGGGATCATCCAAAATCGCCGTAAACGCAGCGTTCGAGTCCCAGATCCAGGTCGTAACCTAAGTACGTTGACACTCAGCCCTCGATAAATACCCATTTCTGGTACACCTACATCACTATGGTTGGCTTTCAGAGAAGCCACACGAACCGTAAGCTTGCTGTTGAAGCCCTCGATCACAGACTTTTCCAGAGCTTGCGCTGATGTCGACTGAGCAAGCATCTACTTGCACAGAGGATCAATCAATACCGTCCCAAGATGGAACGCGCGAAAAGATTACCAACGGCGAACGATCAACTGGCGGAACGTTCACGAATAAAAAGTTCCTCGCCCCAACATCGCTGGGAGAATATCAGATCAGTAAGCTCTCCATTGAAATATTTATACGAACTACTGTAGTCCAGTCAGATTAAGAGAATAAAAAAGATCTCAGAAAACCGACGCACGAATTGTTCAATAAGTGCAAAATATGCATCCAGTAGCGTATCAGAGAACCTTGTGGGAGCAGCATCTCAGTTAATTTTAAAAACCAGGAAAAATATGCGTACGCATCCCGATCACCTCCAAGGTAATAACTATTCCCAATATCATTAATCCCTATCCAAACCGAAAACAGCGTGTTTGTGCTCTCCCACGGTGGCTCCCTCGTAAAGGCGTAGCTATCCAGAAACTCGTTGACCTGGTCAGTGAGCGACAAGACGGTAGGCTCGTAGGGCGCCACCAGCTCAGCAGAAATCGTAGCACCTAGTATCCCGAGTCAGCCAAGTTCGTAAAAACTATTTAGACTCGGATGCACCTCCGTACGCCAAGTTGTATGTCAGGACAAGAGAGGTGTTATCCACCGTCGTGACGTAGTCCACCCAGTTCTGGCCTCCGGTCGCTGTGTATCCTGGGTACGGAGGATTTCCGAGCGGGTTACCTACAGCTGGCTCCGTCCCATTGGTAATGAAGCCAGTTTGGGTGTACGAGTCGCCGCTGGATTACCGTTCAATTTGCGTATTAGATTTGGAGTAGCACGTACAAGCTGAACCAGTACTTCTGCGCGTTGACTTTTGCTGCCAGGAGGAGGAGGAGGAGATGGGGAAACGTGATGACGACCACGGCCTCTTCGAATTCTTATAAGAAATGTTAAAGATCATCGACCATCGATCATGTGGCGATACTCTTCCCGTGTTTCATCCGGACTGCTAACCGCCTGACTGATAGTTGACTCGTACGTATATCACACCAGTAGTATCCAAACCCCCGATAATCCATCGCTACCGGAATTACGACGATGTTTATCCATCCTTGCCAGGCAGCTGGTCAACATATCAACGAGTGGAGGGTGGGCGAGAAGAAAGGTGCATCGAGGGTGCACATGGTAGATGAAGAAAGAATTCACCTGGAGATTCAGTTGGTGGCAAACCCGGGCCGGTACCATCGGCAGATGAGGTTAGGGTTCGGATGTAGCAGTGGCGCTGCTGGCGCACTGGCAAAGCGAGTTGCCCTTGTGCCATATATTAGTTTCCAAGTTCTCTATCCACAGATGAAATGCTGGCGCCTTTTGCTTCTAATGCAGAAATATTTGAACATAGACTCATGAAGGAAGTGGTATACCATGTTGGAGAATATCCACACAGCAGTACACCCCTTTGATCTTACTTACCTTATATATCTACCACCTCCTGTCTCTACTCAATCACTATAAAGCCTCACCGTGGTTACCTGTGTACCTCAGTTGTTTCTGTTGGAGGATATCCATATGTTTCATCTTATCTTACTTTTGATCACTTGCTTTATTTGCCTTATATATACTTACACCTCCTGTCGTTTCCCAATCACCTATATAGTCCAGCCATTCCTATCTGTATGCCTCAGTCACTTCACCCACGTTGTGCCTGACTGAGGTATGTATATCCCTACTGTGCTTATGACTATGATACTTACATTCATTTGTAGATACTCACATATATTCTTCTGTCAATAGGTACAGTAGACTCAATACAGTCGCTTCACCCACATTGTGCCCGACTGAGATACTCACATATATTCTTCTGTCAATAGGTTATGAGGCCCCATTGCCTATAACTACTCAGTCAAAAAGAATACGCAACGGAATTTCGACTTAACTTACCGCTTGAATTTATACCATACCACTACCCTCACCACTTTACACCACACCCCTAAACGATGTTGTCAATGTCAGGAGTCACTATCCTCCCTGACATGAGTAGCCATTTCAATGGGAAGAACTATGCCTCATGAAAACTCTAACTTACTGAGTTACTGAAGGGAAAAGGCCTATGGGGATACATTGCAGGAACTACTGTCTGTCCTGCCATTCCCACCACCACTACCACAGCCATGGCTACTACCACACCCCTCCCACCAGACCCTACTCCCATATACTCATCCTCTCCCTTGTATGATGAGTGGGTCTTTCATGATCAGCTCACCCACTCAAACATTGTCCTCAACGTTCTCAACCCCATTGGTCTAGGGGTCAAGACTGATGGAATGGCAAAGGAATGCTGGGACTCCATTGCTGCAGAACACGCAAAGAAAATAGATATGGCCCTTTCCGAGGCTGAGGCATTGCTGAATGTGGCGAAGTTTGACAGGAATAGTGATATCAATATCCACATCGCTGACCTGCACATGAAACGACGAGCTGTGAATGACCTTCAAACCACAGCATTGAGTGATCAGGAGTTCAAAGGAATAATTATTCACTCAATAATCCTGACTGATCACTGGATGCCTATCCTCCCAAGTTTATACGGCATGCCAACATCCTCTGATGTGTTTTCCTATCTCCAAACCCATGCCGCCATGCTTCGTGCAGTGGGTAAAGGTCCTGCCAACTCTCAAGCACTTGCGGCTGGAGTCAGAACCTCTGTCGTGGTATGTGGATGTCGCAATCCAGATTGCAAGGCCCATGATAAGACTAGGCACACCACCAAAAATTGTTATTGGCCAGGAGGGGGAAAGGAGAGACAATTTCCTGCCAACTTCAGCCGACCTCACCATGCAAACCAGGCAATCTCGAACACCACAGCCGATACTACAAGGCATTTTGTACTTGCTGTGCATGCTACTACAGTGGAAGCCGATTGTGATAATGATGGCATTGTAATTGAGGATGGCAGCACTGGCGAGAGGATATATGAGTGGAATGGTACCCATTCCTTCTAGCGCTGAGATGAAACAGAGAGCAGCACTATATTGATGTCGAAGGTTGAAGAAGAGACAGACCTTGAAATGCCTCCTCTCACTGACATCGATGACTCTGATGATGAAGACATTGCTGGAGATGATGAGATACCTTCTGTCAAGAGTATAGACACTAGCAAGGCCAATATTAAGAATGTAGGACACTTTATATGTGAGGCTGACCCTGCTACAACAGTCTTTGTCATGACTATATTTGAAGGCCATACCTCAGCCATCACTCTAACCTTTATGGATTCTGATATGAGTGACTACTTCTTCAGGAATCGTGATGACTTCACAGAGTACATGCCAGTAGCTTTCCATACTGGCTCATCTACAGTTGAGGGAAAGGGAATGTTCGAGATCCTGGGCCAGAGTACAGCAATAAAGATCTTCAGACTGAATAGAAGAGATGTTAAGCTCACCTTCAAAAATGCCTTGCATTCACCTTCACTCGCCACAAATCTCATCTCCATAAGTGCCTTAGACAAGGCTGGATTGTCAACTGTGTTCTCTGATGGCTGTGCAGTTGTCCAGGATAAGTCTGGTAAAGAGATCTTTGCTGGGTGAGGCTCGGATGGCATGTATGTGCTGGATGCTGCACCTAGCCCCTAAGCTATGGCATCCTGCTCATCTCCCACTTCGCTGAGTACTTGGCACCATCGTTTTGTCCACATGAGCCCTGCAAAAATCAAGGAGATGGCATCAAAAAGACTGGTGGATGGCTTAGAAATTACCTCAGAGTCTATCCAGAGACACTGCGAGAACTGTATTCTAGCGAGACATGCTCACTGTTCCTTTGATGAGCCCACTGATCCCAACGTTGATCCACTGGAGCTTGTTGCAACAGATATGTGGGGACCATCTTGAATGGCATCACTGAGTGGAAAGACTTATATGATGATATTCATCGATAGTGGTACATCATTCAAGGCAGAGGAATTCCTGGCAGACAAAGCAGATGATACTACTGTGGCTGCTTTTGACAGATACAGGTGCATGGCTGAGACTCAGACTGGCTGAAAGCTTAAGCATATATGTGCTGATCATGCTTTTGCAGGGGTAAAGTGGAAACAATATTGCGAGGAGCATGGGATCATCCTGGAATTAACTGCACCCCACTCATCAGCCCAGAATGGATTAGCTGAACATGCCCTACGCACCACCATGGAGGATACAAGAGCTCTACTAAGTGACTCTGGCCTCGCCGACCACTACTGGGCTGAGGCTGCCTCTATGTCAATCTTCACGTGAAATCTTGTTCCTTCGAGTTGCCATCCTGGAGTGGTACCAGCAGAGGGTTTCTCGAAGTGACGACAGAATGTGAGATTTTTACAAGTGTTTGGATCCACTTGCTGGGCAAAGAAACCTATAGCTGGTGGGGTTTTAGTAGATGGCAGAAGCAAACTCAATGATCAATCAAAGAAATGCACTTTTCTGGGATACTCAGGGTCCAATTACCATGTTGTTAGACTCAAACCCCATGTGACTATTAACATGTGATGATAAACCGATTGAACCTCGCACTTCGGGTTAAACAATCAGAGTCCACCGAATGTCAATGATGTCGATGTGGGTCAAGGCTCGCAAGTAGTAAGAGCTCGAGAGTAGTTTGGTGAAGATAAACTTTAGTTCGAGACTGGAGTATTACAGCGACGACTGCTCTACTTATATACTGTTTTGTTATCTAGCTGTTACTGCTGCGGTTACCAATCTCTCCACAAAAACTATTGTCCTGCTGTGTGCTGTTACTGCTGCGCCGCAGTTGAGAAACAAAAGGAGCATTGTCTCTCTCTTCACAGCACACAGCAGCACAGTATGACCAGGACTGACTTGGATTGCTGACTAAGCTTTCCCACAGTCCCAACTGGGTTGCTGAGCTAAGTGTTCCCACGGTTCTAAGTGCTGGCCTAAGTGCCCTGACTAAGCAAAGATAGGGGTCATTTCCGGGAAAAAGAAAAAGAAAATGGAAAAATCGTAACACATGTACTTGATCAATCGGGACATGTGTTTGTGTCTTGTGATGTCATCTTTGATGAAGGACCAGTGCACTGAAGTGTGAGTGTAGGAGAGATGGAGGACGAATCTGCACTCACCACTTCTACTCATACCGAGATGCCTATGCCAACTGAGCCAACCGAGCAAATGCCAGATGCTCCCACAGAACCAACTCTTCACTGATCAATGCACTTAATGCGTCTCAGTGCTGATGCTGCCGAATCTCTGATGTCAAAGCAACGAGAGGCTGAGACTCATACAAGTGAAAATGACTGGGCAACCAACAGCAAACAGCCACATGCTTCAATGGCTTCTGGTAATCCACCTGATCCATACATCTCATGAAATCATCAAGATGCACTGCGTGTTGATGAAGAGCGATAGAAGGCAGCTATGGATGTGGAATACCAAATGCATATGATGAAGCATACGTGAGACCTAGTCGACAGACCGGTAGGTGTGAACATGATGGATTGTAAATGGGTCTATGGTATGAAATGGAATGGCGATGGTAACTGGATCAGAGACAAGGTGAGGCTCGTTGGAAAGGGCTATACTCAACAGTATGGACTCGACTATAATGACACTTGGGCTGTGGTGATCCATCTTGAATCTATACAGATGTCGGCTGCTGTTGCAGCAAAGCTCGATCTTGTCCTATGGCAAGTGGACTTTGTTTTGGCATACTTGAATAGTGAGACAAAAGAAGACATCTATATACGTCAGCTCCCAGGGTATATAGTCGAAGGACAAGAGGATAAGATGTGCAAACTTGTCCATACTATTTATAGGACTATGCAGGGTGGTCATGATTGGTTTGAGACACTTGGGAAAACCTACGAAGACCTTGAATATCATGCATCGAAGGCAGACCCATGTGTATGCACCATTGGCAAGCCTGGAGATGAGTATACCATCACAGACACTTACACTGACGATGTGTGGGAAGCATCGTCGACTACAGAGGAGGTGAGCTGACGGAAGAAGGAATTAGAGGAGAAATGGGAGCTCACCGATATGGGAGAGAACCATTATTTTCTGGGGATGAAGATTGAACAAGACCTTGAGGCTGGCACCATCATCTTCTCGCAGCATCCATATTGGGAGAATGTATTTTTGGATTTTAACCTTGGATACGTATGATCACGGACCACCCTCCTACCTGTTGGAATCGTACTCGACATGTCACAGTCTCCGAATACCCAAGCAGAGAAGGACGCTATGGAAAGATTCCCATACTGACGACTGCTAGGCTGCGTTATGTGGGGACAGCTTGCAACTTGTTCCGACTTGTGCTTTCCTGTGAGCCTGCTCACTCGCTTCCAGTCTAACCCAGGAATAGAGCACTGAAAAGCATTAATACATGTCCTTGGGTATATAAAAGAGACAATAGACCTTGGTATCTCCTTCTCGTGTGAGCAGCTGTTAACACCTGTTGGATTTGTAGATGCGGACTATGAGGGTTGTAGGGACATGACTTGTTCGATGTCTGGCTACGTCTTCACTATGGCGGGTGGTCCGATTTGCTAGAGCTCAAAGCATCAGGCTACCATCACCTTGTCCATTGTTGAGGCTGAATACATTTCTCTTATTCATATGGTGCAACAGATGATGTGGATATTGTCTTAGATGGATGAGGTCCAACTACCTCAGCCTTGCCCTGGTGTATTGTATGGTGACAACCAGGGTGCTGTAGCATTAACAACAAACACATGGTCCCATCAGAAAGTCAAGCATATCTGCATTCGAGAGCATTTCATTAGAGAGCTCATGAAGGATGGTGAATTATATGTCAAGTTTGTTCAAGGGAATGCAAACCCTGCAGATATGTTCACCAAGCCCTTGCCTCATGATACGCACAATAGTTACCTCGAGATGCTCAACATTATCCCAGTAGATTGAATGGATATGGGAGAGTGTTGGAGGATATCCATATGTTTCATCTTATCTTACTTTTGATCACTTGCTCTATTTGCCTTATATATACTTACACCTCCTGTCGTTTCCTGATCATCTATATAGTCCAGCCATTCCTATCTGTATGCCTCAGTCGCTTCACCCACGTTGTGTCTGACTGAGGTATGTATATCCCTACTGTGCTTATGACTATGATACTTACATTCGTTCATAGATACTCACATATATTCTTCTGTCAATAGGTATAGTAGACTCAATACAGTCGCTTCACCCATGTTGTGTCCGACTGAGATACTCACATATATTCTTCTGTTAATAGTTTCGCTATTGTTGCACCCTACTGAGGTACATATACCTTACAGTGTTTGCTTATCATATTACTCACTCTCATTTACAGTACTTACATATATTCTTCTGTTATTATACCAGGATAGGCACTAATTGCCCTGATATTTTGCTGATATTTACTTCTACCAGGTATGTTGATGACTCGGAGCAATTGTACATGCTCCAACTTGACTATGTGTGCTCGTTACTGAATGCAGGGCTGTTGTGGTCTACCTTTATTATGCACCCTCTTATCGTTTATGGAGGACTTATGGAACGTGTTAAACATGCTAAAAACAGCTCTACGCGCCAGATTTACTACTGGTTCGGTATATGGAAATTGGTGTTGCGGCTTGGTGTTGTCCTGACCAACAGGCAGGCATCTAATTTGACACAAAAAGGACATCTTTCAACAATTCGGAGTATATTCCTTTCGGTATCTCTATTAGCAAATGACAAGTTCAATCAACCAGACTGGCCACGACGGTTCTATGGTAGGTGTGTTCATCCTTCCCTACTTGTGTGTGTGCCTGTTCTCAGCCCATTGACATATCAGGACTTGCATTTCTGATGGTCTCTACAACTCAGACTCAGATGGGCATTGCCTCTTAAGGCTCATGGCACAACATATACTCCAACTGAGTACTACTTCTTCACCCCACCACGGACCATGAACACAGGCAAAACGCAGACATGGAATACAGGCAAAACAGGTGATTACTGACTATCTTTCTACCCACTCGAGGTTTGTCAATTGTAGCTTATGCCTAAAGACACAACATTTTTCCCCAAGTCTTGACCTGCCTTGCTTCAAGAATATTTGCCACCATTGGCAGGGCTGTACAGATGATTATCTAGATTTGGACTCAAATCGTTGGGCTGATAAATTTCCTGAAAGTGCATGCATGGTCCTAGGGTCGAAGAAATGCATGATCTTAACCCACTGCAGGTCCTGTAGATAATAGATCATAATTATGGAACACCTGTTATCTCATCTCCACTTCGTCTGCCATCTGACTCCATGCTCTTCTCTAAGTCTAATCTCAAGCAAAAAGAGTCCATTTGAGTGTCACCTGGGTTGATTGCATGATTCCTGAACCGAAGCGATGACATGGTGCTTCCTCCGCTCTGGGACTTGTAATTATAGGTATAATTCCCTTAAACTATTAAAGTCAAAATGGTAAGCCTGAAATAGATACTAGAATGCAATTACCCTCATCTTGTCAGCTACCAAGAATAAATAATCCCTGACTGGGTTGTTGTTGCAAACTTCAAACACCAAGAGAATAACTATTAATGCAGAGTAAAGAGTAGCAGAGTCTACGATGACCTCTATAATTCTGCGATATGTGCGGAACCCTTCCATGATGCTGCTGACTTTGAGGATGCGGTAAATAATGAAAATCATGCACCATAGTAGGGTAGCCAATATGAGTGAAGTGTAAAGCACAGCCCAGTCGACGGAGTTCAGCATGTAAAGATCCGATGGATCTGGTACCTTGTAGAAAACATTATTGTAGAGTATAATTCTTCTACTGACTAGATGTGCAGAGATGAGTTGCAGGTAATAGATTTATCCAAATCCTATGTGACAGACTTACTGAGCGCCAAAGTAGTAAAGAAAGAAAACATCATGCCAAAGTGGCATCTGCCAGGAGAGTGCTCAAAGCAGCATCAATATTCTCTATCAACATCATTGGCATGGATTCATGCAAGTAGGCATCGTATGTCGTCCAGAAGTTTTGCCCACATGCAATGAAATATTGGCTACACTGCATCCACAAGCAGTAAAGGTCAAAAGTTGTCACAGCATATAAGAGTAGGATGATGGCAATGAAGAAGCATGGCCTATGAGAATTTCTGTAGATTTTGCCCGAAACTAGACAGAATTTCAACTTGTTAGAAAGGAACAACATTAGTAACTTAGAGTAACTCATGAACCAAGCGTCCACATCATTACAACCACTACTCCTGTGTAAAATCCTTGGAACGGCTTGAGTCATGGATAGTTAACTGAAGCAGACTGACTCTCTGACCATGTAACAATGCATACATGACCGTTTCGTTCAATGCTCTATCCAGAAATAGGCAGATGTCCTTGACCTCGCTGTTGGTTAATTCCGGGATAGTAGTCTCAGTACTATCGATTCTGGAGAACATTGAGCCTCAAAAGAAGAGCAGAGATGGACTTTGGCACCTGATCTGACTGAGCAGTCAGTGTTTTATGTAGAACAAATCCAGTACAATATTATCTTGAAACCATCATTACCAAAGATTGCAGTGTTGGTGTAACATACTTATAGTACGGTGACCACAAAACACCTTGATAATCTTGATTCCTGTTGTCTGAGTTCTCTTGGAAATAAGGGATACAGGTAGAAGTGATTTGTTGGTGGCATGATGATTCATATATGGGATGGTAGTCAAGCCCAGGGCTTTCTCTATCACACTCCAGTGCTTGGTATCAGATCAGAAGATACTATTTTGATGATCTAATTGTGGCATGCTTCAGTGAGATCAAAATATTGAGGTGCTCAGGAAAGCATTGTGAAGTAGAAGGCTTTAAGCTAGAGTTTGTAGCTTAGAAAACTGAGATGTGGTCCCAAAAGTCAGAGTCTATGGCAGTGCATGATGTGACCATGTGTTAGGATCCATGTCAAGCACTCTACATCCCATGATCATGATCAGTATTTTTCAAAGTAATTTCAAAGTCTTCATGCTTTTGCCTATGACTAAAACTGTATTTCCAATGACAACATTGACTGGGCTGCTGTTGCACTATTTGCAAAGGCTGTTAGGCTCATACTGTTGCACTCATAAGCTAGGGGTTAGTAATTATTGCTCTGATACATGCAGCTAGCTTCTCTTTCACTTTACCTGGCTGCTGAAATTGTGTACACAGACTATTATATATGTGATGACTGTCAATAAAAATCAAGCAACCCATACATCCAAAATCAGTCTGGTGATGGTGAGAACACATTAATTTTGGATCAGGCTCTCACCATATCATCAAGACACATGCATTTTAGAACTACAACAAAAAGGATGTCCTATCAATTCCACAGGATACATGATTACAAAACAAGGGAAAATTAAGTCCTTGACACTAGTTCATACTGAAGAATCATCATATCATCCCTTTGCCCATGATCTCCAGGCCCAAGAAACTTAGCAAATGTTTCTGCTGAAGTCCCAGCTACCAAGTTCCCTAGTAACTCTACAGCCTGGTTTTCATCTGGCCCCATCCAGCCAACTTCAACACTATGGCCAAGAGTCTCTTGAGCAAAGGCATCATCAACCTTGCTGCCAACGAGTCTCCCCACAATGACAGAAGGATCAGGTCCATTCAGCTTTTTGACCCTCTGACCGACTGTAGCTTCACCATCCACAATAGCATCGACACCATGGGTATATAGAATCAGAGTTGACTTGTGCAGTTGAAGCTCAGTGAGGTTGATGAAATGGGTGCTGGGCGAGTTCAGGACATATGGCGGCATCACATTGTAATACCGAATGCCATCCTGGTAGCATTGCAGTCATTGTCCTCTCAGGAGTTTGAAGAAGAGCTCTGTTGAGAACTCTGATGGGAACTTGGGACTATAGTCACTCAAACCTGTAAGCATGCATGGAACAGTGAATACAGGGATAAGATGTGTCAGTTGCTACATACCTCTTGTGTATGGTACCACATCCAACAACTGACCATTTTCCATTATGGTCTCCTTTTCCTCTGAGGGATGCATCATGGCAATAGAAAGATACTCCTTTGGAGTACATGTGCTATGAAGGGTAAGGAGGCCCTCATCATATCCTATCCCATCAGGATCTTCACAGGATATTACTAATTGAACATCAGAACAGCCTGTCTTTGCATAAAGAATAATGACATACCAACAGTTGAATCACCTAGTCCAGCTAACCACATGTTCTCTTGCTCCTCATCGATAAGAGCCAGTGCCAGCATGGAGCCGGAAAATGCTCGCTGGAGAATCCCTTTGTTAGCGTCGACAAGTGTCACTGCTTCCGGGTAGTTTAAAGTGAAGGGGTCAGAGCACAGATTCTTGACCGCTTCGCCTATCTCTTCGTCGAATTCCTCAATCCGTTGTCGCAAGACCTTCTTCACCTTGCTGACGAGGGTATCCCGGGATCGATGTAGGCAGTCCTTGACGACTTCGCGCGGTGCCTCCTTGATCAGCCGGGGAAGATTGGCGGCAGCATAATCGGCTATATGCGCACCACCATGGCCTGGAATTCATAGTTTAGTCAGATAGAGCAAAGGCCACAATCAAAAGGCTTACCATCGAAGACAGCGAGAAATTTCCACCGTCTGCCATCGATGAGCCATTCTTGCACGACAAATCGGTCTTCGTTCCTGGCACCGGGAGTTAGCTGGAATGTGACTGAGTGGACGCCGGCAGTCATTCTGGAACTCCATGCGTGGATAAACAGCTCCCGCCAATGTGTGATGGAACGAGCAGACGACGACATGACTGGTGGATGATCGGTGGCGGAAAAGAAATTTCGCCCGTAGATTTCTCCAGTCAGAATACAGCTTATTAAGATGTCAGTGGTCGTAGCTCACCGCAGAATGAGGATAGAAAAGTGGTAATGTGGCGGAACTGGAGAACAATGCAAGACCGGTGGCAAAGTAGTTGAAATGTCAGGGTCCGTGCGGAGAAGTCCGTTCATTCGTGATTGGTCTGACCAAGCTTCGTCCTGCACAATTCTGCAATTCAACAGGTCAATCACAGCGTCAAGCAACAGCGGATCCAGTCCACTTCCTTCACTAACAGTGATGTGCCCACCGAAGACACCGAATATTGATTGCCGATAGAGATTTTCTCACAGCGGACCAGAAACTGGGTCAAGATGAACTGATTCTAGAGTGCTCAGTCCGGGCAGGAGATATTGAACAAGGGAAGAATTTACCTTTCAATTACCTTCTGGTTTGCCAGATGTTCGGAAAGAAACCAAAGATTCGAGGTCATTTACAATTCCAGATACTGCAAAAGACGCTCCGTCACTTCCGACCTCAATGGTATGCTTGCTTTGCTCCGCTCGTTACAATTTTCAATGTAGCATCGTCGATCGCTTCGCGGGATCTTGCACCAGAGTATTCTTGTGCTCGAAGGTTCGACTTGGAGAGAGATGACCATTTGAGGGTTATGTCAAGGTCGAGGACCCACACATTCCTCTGACAGCCCGAAAAGCGAAATAACCCTGTCTCGGATACGGGACTGGACCTACGTGCTTATGAGTATGGTCTCAATGATCAAGGGGACGTGACTGATACTCGTACCTTGATGCCTTGCATGTATTAGGACTCACTAACGTAGTCTTGAGACAAAAGATCATGGAGGCCTCGTAAAGGCAGACAGATGTGCTGGAGTTCTAATGACGAGGTCTTGGTGAGTAGAGCATTCTTTAGTGCAGCGAAATCAAGCTCATTGGAGACAAAGAAAGGTATTACTATGACTGAGCGAGTTGTAATGTGGAGGAGCGCGATATATGATGATTTGGTTTCTGCTACGAATTCTCTACGGTCCGTCTGACGCTGACATCAGTACCGATGGGAGGACCACTTGTTCAGCAAAAGGGTTGATGAGATCTGGCGTCGCGTCGCGCGCGATGAACAAAACCAAAATAGAATCACTTGATTCTTTATGGGTTGGCTCATCGGGTTCGATGACAACAGCACCAGACCACTCATACTCTCAGCCTTGCTGGGAATACAGATGCAGGTGATATCCATATCCACCATCTTCTCCTGTGCTTTACCCACCATCCCCATCATAGGTCCCAGCTGCATGACATCCCTGATCGTCGTCTTTTGTGTGGTCACCTGTGCCATACTTCTCTCAGTCTATATTCGTTCCTAGAGGGACAGGGGAATACCTTGTAAAATGCGAGATGTCATTGCTAGAAAACCATGGTGAACATGTCAGAACATGATGCACAGTCCCTCAGCATGCCAATACTTCACAATCAGTCGTTCATGGATCTATCTGTTTCGGCTTGATACCTGCCCTCCATCCAGAACGATGGGCCTTCTATTTTAGAGGAGTTCCCAAATGACACGTTGTTCCCCGGTACTCTTGGTGGTTCTTGTTGACTCGGCTCGGCAATACGATTTAGGAAGATCCCGGAGAAATGCAAGGTACTCTAGTGCATACCGTTCAGGTTGCGCTATGCATCATCAGCTAGGAGGGTTGTTAGGAAGGGGTCCTGGGGCTGTATTGATGAACAGACGCACCTACACACTGGCACTGTCGACCCGGGAGAGCTTCCTGTCTAGCAAGAGGTCCGAATGATAGCGACCATACGGCGCTCAGCCCACTGGGACTAACGAACGACGACGAAGATGACGACACTACGACGTTCCCACCTCACCGCTAGGTCCGGCACAATCGGTAACTATCCTCGGTCGCTCGCCTTGTTCGATAAATACCCCGACTGAGTATATCGACTGATGATGAGCGTGGGTGGACAATCGGATGGTTGAGCTGGTCACGCACAGTGAAGCTACAGGTATTCCTAAAATTTTTCTTCAGCTCCGTGTGCGATGGAAACGGGCTCGTATCCGTACCCTTCCAATGCCTTTTCGGAGTCCCGTCGGTACATATGGGTCCGTCCTTCCAAGGCGCTCATCAAGGAAATTCCGGTTGTTCTTCCGAGAAATCGTGGGCGTCAGTTGATATAAAAGGAGGACGGGGTTAGGAGTGAGCGCCGTCGTCATAATGAAAGAAAAGGAGAGAGGGATGGCGACGAACTCGATGGGCCCACCCGATATCCGAGTCGTCACATTCCGAGTCACAGCCTCTTTCCTTCCTTGCCCCTCAACGTCCATGCAGCCCTCCACATAACAACGTTCCTCTTTTCGTCGTTGTGCCTCTCTTTCCAGGTCCTTTACCTCTCCAGACGTCGAAGAAGGGAAAGAGTGGGAACAGGCACAGGAAATGGTTCTGTTTTCCCCTCTTTCTCGTACTGCTTCGCTAACTATCAACAGCAGCATGCACGTTCCCTTTCCTCGTTCCTTGGTCTGTCTGTAATGGCGCCTAACATACGGACTGCAAAGCGCAAAATTCAGGGTTGGTTAACCTGTTGATTTGGGATGGCGAGCGTGCGTCGTCCTCACTGCTTTACTATCCATTCAATATTGACACTGGCGCCCAGGATCTGAGCTATTCATTCTGTCAATGTGGCACAACGTTCTCAGCATGGACGACGAAGTCTCCGCATGAACTGACCTAGTCAGCGCCACTCCCACCGGAAATTCAGATTCTCTGTCAGCGCACGGCGTGTCTGCAAAGCGGATATATGCGTTTGGAAGGACAGACTGGGACTCATATATACGCTCTTCGTATGGTTTTTATAAGGGCGAGGGTGCCGCAGTATCCTCAGTGATTCCCTGTCATCAATAACAAGACCAGTTCTTTATGCGACCGCATCGTTCAATAACGGAAAAACCTATCTATGACAAATGTACCATTGACTTCCAGTGCGCCGATGTGAATGAGGTTCCATTATTCGGTTCTCAGCCATCATGTGGGGAAACCCATTCAATCGCTTTGAACGTATTCTAGACAATATCACCATCCTTTCAAATGAATGCTTTCCTGAAGATATCTTCACCGTAAGACCCCAGTACGCACTGCCTCGCGCCGGCATCAGTGCTATCAATTCGCCCTCGAGGTCGACGACTTCCTAGAGATCAAGCCTCCGTACACTTTGGGCATGTATCGAATGAGACACGGTAGATAACCAGTCGAGGGACAGATTCTTTAACTCGCACAACCTGTGTTGTACTCGAAGGCTGTGCGGGATCATTGCCATGAGAAGAGGCTCTCTGTCTATACCACCCATGATTCGCCTATGTAAATCATGTACCTTTCATGTCCTGCCCACTTTCTTCCCATATTATCCTTACGAAAGAGGAAGAAATTTTCATCAGTTGCTTGAAAATCAGAGATAGTTGCAAAGATCGTTGCGCCAAGGAAGGGTTCGTGGTGCATCTGTCTGAGCACGCCTGTATGGGTTCGACTCCCACCCAGATATGGATCCGGAGAATACCATCATGCTCAAATCTTATTTCGTTTTCGAAACCATGCAGGGAGGATCTCAGAGTTGTTCCGTTGCTCTCTTTGGCACCGGAAAGATGAGTACGAGACAAGGGACAAAAATTTAATGTCTAAAAGCGAAATGAATTTCCATTTGCAAGGAACCAGCCTCAATCGTGTTACTCAGAAACATATCATCGCGTATACTAGCCAAATACGAATAATCCATCATCGCCTCGGAAGTTGTCTATAGAACAGTTTTAAGCGATCCAGTTGTAGTATGAGCATGAAAATACGCACCTTGATGGCTTTCGGTATGGAATACAGCCGTCTCCGCTGCAGCGTCGATTTTGAGCCGAAAAGAAAAACGACGAATGACAGTAGTTGGCCGAATTTCAGGTCACCGGACCGGTCGATCCTCTCTGGCGCGGCGTTGTCCGTGTCCTTTCTACGAGGATAAATCATGCAGATGAAGCTCTATCGCGACCGAATTCATTCCTTTATCGGTCGCTCGTGCTCTCCGGAATTAAGATATTACGACGCCGCAAGCCTACGAGAGGTTCATGGCAAGCGTTGACGTGAAGCGGATAGTTCGAGAGCTTTGATCGTGTATATTCATTCACCCATGCAACTTCCAATTCTGTGACCCTGTCCTATGTTTTTAGAAACATATATGTATATCTCAGTTTCTCTTTGCGTACTCATGCGTATTTCTCATGACATCAAAGTCAATACTTAGGTCGCACCATTGCTAACCTCATCAAGTGCTACGACCTCCCTTGTTTACGCGTGCAATCTCTTACAAACAATTTGCAAGTCACTCGAAACCATCAGAACGAGCTGCGAGTCTCCGGAAATACCATCCCATTTCTTGGGGACGTTCCGTTCTCCTGTGTGCGCCGTAGGGTAATGACACTTCTGTGGCGTCACTGCCGAAAGAACGTCTCGCAGTCTGGCCTATAGTCTACTATTCCAGGTCCCCGGGTATTAGAAGCTAGGCATCGCGTAGCACCCGTCGTTCAATCGTTTTCGCCTCGGTCCCGAGTCGAGGTGGATGTCTACTCGCTTAGTGTGGGATGGAAGTACGAAGTAACAAGTTCTCCTTTTTTGCTTATGTTCTTTCCTTGATGTGAATCTCGAGCATCGAAACAATATACTCTCGGGGCTAGACATGACTCCGGGATCCCCATGGCTCGACGTATATAAAGGAATGAGAATTATGACTGACCCTGCCCGCCTTTGCGAAAGAAAATGTGGTCATCCTCGTTCTTACCAGCCTTCGTCTCCTCGTCATTGCAACTTTACGAGGCAATGCGTAGAATTTACTCTTCGATTCCAGTGAAACGTGCGGAATCTTTGCACTAAAAAGAATGTGGATACCATACAACTGATGTCGACGAGATGATGATGCGATATGTGATGTGCTACACGTGTACAGAAATAGGAAATTTGTCTGTCTTGTCTTGTAGAGATGGGGTCTTCGGAATGTACAAATCCAGATAACGATAAGAACAGAGAGATGAAAGAACGGTAGAAATTGATACCACGTATGAGCGATGATTAGGCCTGAGGCAGTCAGTGGTAGAGGTCCAACGGTGGCTCCGTCAGATGACCATGCAAGTCATTCAACGATAATGCCGCTGGGTGCTACTCCGTCATTGGTCAGGCCATATTGTAGTCATATACTGGCTCCGCCGCGGTAACTCAACCTGAACTATCATGCGAAGCAGGGAAAAGGATATATGAAGAAAGCGCTGGAAGTTATCAGGAATCGGGAGTGGGTCGTGGTAAAGTCGGCTGTCGACGGATGGGTCTGCGGGAAGCGAGGCTGTTGAATCGGTGGGTGAATCCGGTATGTAGATAGACTGTAACGGTCCTCAGAATTCAAAGAGAATGACGACGTGAGAGAATAGCTTACATATTTAGACAGGACTTTCTCAAGCGCCCGTCCAAGATCCGACCATTCAAACACTTTGAGGTCTTTCTCAATATTCCGGGGCTTGGGATCAGGGAACTCCATGATGCGCTGGAAGAAGGTGTCTAAACCATGTCTATGTTTGCTGACGGTTGTCGGCTTCAACGCCTCCAAATCGCGCCTTATGCGGTTTTTCTCCTCGACAGGAAAGTCGTCGTTGGCGAGCCTCTCGAGCAGATAAATGATATCCCCGCTGGTGACATAGAATACGAGTTTTTCATCCATGAAAATACAGGAAATGACGGTGTCTTTGTCGCTGTAGTCATCCTGGCGGATAGCTTCGCAAGAAAGAATGAGTTTGCAACCATCTTGGCACTTGTGAAAACGAACGAGCCGACGACACATTGAGACTTCTAAGGGATCCCAACCGATGCACATAGTATCAAGAGGGGTTATGATCTCGAGAATAGGAGTGCAGGGATGGAGGCTGATGTCCTCTGGAGAGCCATAGTTAGTGCGCACGAGGGAATTGGGACGAATGCGGCGTGATGCTGGTCTGCGGTCCGAAATGGTCTGAGAAGGAGCTGACAATGGGTTGCGTATACTGGTGGTAGTATTGGTCGGTCGGGGGAGCACTGGCGCCTGGGAAGCCGCTACTGGCTGCGAAGCTACCCAAGACGCCTGAGAGGCCACGACTGGCGGATTCTGTACGGGAAGATCGGGTTCCTTGTAGGTAAAGTAGCCAAAGAAGACAGAATGGAGAACGATGTTGTGCGAGTCAACTACCTCGACGTTAAGGGGAACCTTCAGATCACGCATTCTGTGCGGAATCCTAGCACGAAGCTGATAACGGTGATATTTTTCAGAAATATTGGAGACTTGAGTGGTGACTGCTGTCCAGCCAATGTTTAGACGTAGATGTATTTGTTCTCGGGTAGGATGGTAGAAGTCAAGTTGGACAAAAATGGGGACACCGGCATTGCCTTCAGAGGGATGGAAGTTAAGGACAGAGAGCATAGGCGAGTATGGGTGGGACATGGCAGTTGGAAAGAAAGAGGGGTGGAAACTGGCAGGAATCATGCTCGCCAAAGTCAACCTCTGCACTCTTTCAAATAGGGGTCTTGACGCTTATTTATTTCGATGTCTGTTCTCACCTCGCGCTAGCGTCGGTCACCGATCGCTATAGCAGATGCCTGAGGTCCATCATACATGAAGACCCACTTTTTGTGCTCGAAATATTGTTTTTTTTTTTTTTTTCATATGTGCCCGATCTATTCAATCCTTTTAATACAGGTAAGATGTTGGCATTCCAGTAAAACACCAAAAAAGCCAGGGTGGAGGCATAGCAGGTGGGAGAAAGGAATACGAGCCGAAAACACCAACTAAACGATGCACCCTTGACTCGGCACCATCACGCCTCCCAATAGGTGCCCTTCTGATATCCCCAGATCCAGATCCACCCCAACACAGAGAAAGCCCGGAACCACAGGGCAATCACCCTCCAAGCCCCGCTTCTCCATATGAAGAGTACATCTTCATGGACAACACTCCCCCACCCAACCACAACAACCAAGCACAAGGACAGGTGATGGAGCAGGCGCAAGAATTTACCTTCCCGGCCAACAGAGGAGATATGTGCTTACAGTCTAGGGTCTCTGTGATGGACTCCCCTCATAGCAACGGGCCAGAATTCGTACCACATGGACCCGAGCAAGAAGGGCTCATGGCACGACTCCACTTGGATGCTTCCCATGTCCTAGATGTAATTCTCTTCCACTGGAGATCGGCCTACTCGATGATCCCAGAAATGCTGAGCACAGCACTCCTCATTTCCCTCGTCCTTGCTCTCATTTTGCAGCCCGTGCAGCCGTTCATTTACCTGCATGTCGGGACATATAAAATTTGGTACCATATAATGTGAGTGTGTGCAACTTCTGTCACGCTTTTCTGTCTAATGGGTCTTTCATAGTTGATCTTGTTTCTTTCACCAATACAACCGTTGACCTGGAATTATTCGCATGGAATATGATGTGTCTCTTGAATCCAGAAGCCTATACATCCTCAACTTTCTCCTGCCACAATGACAGAGAGGCTGTTCCTTCTCTCCGTGGCATACCCCTTGGATCATCAATTACCACCCAGGAGTGATCCTCGACAGGAGATCGAATTCACTGCCGAATTTTTTGACAAAGATTATCATCATGTTCTGAACAATTTCTGGCGAGCAAGGGAGCCACTGTTAATCGATATTGAAATGAACCTAATGAAGATGCAGCGAGTAGAGTACTCTTTACCGATCTATACATATGTACTTGGGCTCTTTCTCCAGTTCATAAGGCGAGTCCCCAGATGCTGAATCAACCTTCTCGACAACATCCCATCTTGCTGCTAGAATTTGCTTGAGTGGCATGTATATTGTGTGAAGAGGTTCACCATGAAATTACTTCTTCACAGGCATAGTGTTACATGTCAGTACTTAAGGTTGTTCATCAGTCCAGCTTCTTTTCCCTTCAACCCCCATTCGTTATGCCATGGTCTATCTTAGTCCTTCATGGGTACATGCATATTTCATTGTGCTTTCTTAGGTCCACTTGGCCAACAACTCTGTGGAAGAGATATGCCCAAAATGCAACCATCTTCAGTAAATATTTTCATTTTCTAATATCAGATCTAAGAGAAACTGCTGTTAACATCATGTGTCTTTAGCTCTGATCTCTTCGAAAAGAGTACAGCAAGGATATAGAATTAGGTTTGTCTGTATAGCTATAAATTTTCTATGCTCACCCATAAAGTATTATCCTAGTTTCTGATGACACTCCCCATATCATCTAATTGGCTGATCTACATGCCAATGCATCACAAACTGAGCAGGAGGCTTTTCATCCCACTGATGGCCAGCCTAGAAGGTGATATGATGTGTATTGTGTCACTAGAGCTATCAGACTGAAAGAATCTCTGAGCATCACAAGAGATACTCTGATGCTCAGAGACACTCTCATGCAAAGGATGTTTGATGTATGTGACCTTCTTTCATCACAAAGACACAGTTGGTTGAACATTTAACACATCCACTGGCAGGGTATATCTGGGTTCAGGTAAATATTAATATGCTCATGGCTAGAGAAAAGTTTGAATGTGTTGCTGTTGTCAGCCAAGGTGCAGCCATGGCAGCCTTTCTTTTGGCATTGGTATGCCAATTGATAGACTCCATTTTTGCCCATGATTCATGACCAGCTTGAAAAACCTCAGTCAGATCCTCATTGACATTTTTGGTCTGCATTGCAGGATACAGCATCACAGATCCCTTAGCCAATCTCATGTTTAACCCCACATGTGCAGTGCCAACACTTCACATCATCAGTAAAAATGATATCATGGTGCTCAAAGAATGAATGAAAGTTCCTTTGGATATATAAGAAAACAAATGTGTCAAGAAGCATGATGGAGGTGAGATGTATGATCTAGGGTTTACAGCACTTTGTTCCATCTAAGACATTATGGAGAAATTTTCTTGTATCATATCTCTTAGATCATCTGGGTGACATGCTATCCCTTGCAAGATGATGGAAGGTATGCATCTAAGATCTCCTATACCAACACAATTTCATGAGTTCTATTGCAGAGGGAGCTTGTGAAATTCTTCCAAGAATGCACTGTATATCTTTAGATCATAGTACTCCATAGAGAAAATGATTTCTTGGAGCTGGTGAATAAACCAAGATGAATACAAACAGGTGATTGGAAGAAGATGGAATGCCAGAGACCATTGAATCCAAGGTGCTATCACAAAATACAAACAGCAGTCCTTACCCACCCACTCTATGACCTTACAAACCCTAACTCAAGCATGTTTCTGTTATATTTGAGACACTGTCTATGGTGTAAAATAAGTAATCACTTTATCTCTACTCTGATGAAGTGCAGGTACTATTGGTACAAGTAGGCATCATTGACATGGTTGAAATCTTTTTGAAGCATCCAGTACAGTGAGACAGAGAGAATCAAGAAGCATGTCTTGTATGCATTGGTCTTTTTTAAATATGTTCATGGAGTTGGGTCTGAAATCTGAGGCAGATTCAGATGTTTCTGACCAAACTGATCATTGATTCTGAATTTGTCTTGGATAGTTGTTCAAGAAGAGGCCATTTTGTCTCTGCTGTTTCCAGTAATCTTTACTACTAATCAGCACCATCACTATTCAGATGAGCAACCACTCACATGATAACTTTAAGCAGATAGAGAGAATCCAACCTAATCTTCACTTCCTTCATTTTCTCATGACTATTCATACAACTACCTCTCTCACTTTGATTCCAATCAGGATGCAGATTTTTTTCTAAACATACTTTTGGAAGAGCACCTCTCTAAAGAACATAGCCCTCTTAAGCTGTCAACAGCAGACTCATTCACTATTTTTGGTGATCCTTCACTATTTCTCTCAAATCTTCTCAGGGCTTTTGGCTCTACAATATCCATCTCACTATAGTAACCCTCAATACCACCATTGTGGGTCAATGTAGCAGATCTCATATCATCATTCTCAGCATGCCTTTTATACCTTTCAGAGCATCTCTCTGATGCATTGCTTTCTACTGATGCAAATGCACAGCCTACTCATCAGGACTTCTTGCTATCTAGCAAGAAGCATAAAAGAATACAGTCTGACTTGCAGATGTCTTCAGCCTCTAACTTGTATGTGAGCTTTTCATGTGATTTATCACTGTCAGAATCTGATGATGACAAATCAGATTCTGGTTTGATCTACCATCCTAGTCCAAGACCTTTGAATTCAATGCCTCAAAGGAGAAGAACATGATCAATCAGATCAATGAAGCACCTTAGCAGAAAAGGTGATAGTAGAGATGAGCTGCAGTTCATTGAAAATCATAGTAAGAAAAGTCATAGAAGAAAAGTCTCTGTGACTTCAGAGTTTCATGAAGTGGTAAGACTGTAGCAATATCTCACAAGATGCTTCTATCTATTCTGTATAGAGTGAAAATAGAGGGTGGTCCCAAAAAAGGTCAAGAAGCCATATCTTTGTATATATGAACAATGTGAACAGAGCTTCATTTGAGGTGAGCATCTGAAAAAACATATCAAGAGTGTGCATTTGGAAGATAGGCATGAGCTTGACCTTTTCACTCTTCAGTTCCAGTGCTCATAGTTCTTTAGCTTATCAATATCCACATGAAGGCTGTAAGAGCACTTTAAGCAGGAAAGACAATATGAAGCAGCATATGAATGTCACTCATTGACCTACTTGTCATTTTTATTCCACATCATTCTTCATCCACAATGCTAACTAGTCAATATTCTCTTTATCTCATCACTCTTTAAATCCATCTGCTCTCTATCACTTATCTATATATTCATTCTGAACTTTAGACATTATATGTATAAGCATTGAATTCTCCATACTTTAGCTGAAAGTTGTACAAGTAACAATTTCTTTGTATCTGCTTTATAATACATGCCACAGATATTCATTATTCACATTCACTTAAAAACAGTTGTGGACATGCAAAATTCTCTCCAATTCAGAGTCTCTGACAAGAGAAATAATTTATTTTCAGAAGGTCTCATCTGCACATATTAAGCCAGCTGCCTGTGATGTCATAAGTCTCACTCTGAGACAATAAAGCATGCCACAAAGTCTGTGTACATCAGATTACCATCCCTCTCAGCCATACCAAACTGCATTTGTGCAGCACTCTTCATTAACTAGCTGTCAAATCTCAATGAACCTGACAGATATATCTATGATGGCAGCAAACTCATTCATGAAAGATGTGGTCCCCAAGATTATGACAGGAGTGAAGAAGAGCCAGTCAGTGATGAGGCTGTTTTTGTTTAGGCTGAACATGGAGAGGTATCCTGTTTCATTCATTTCACAGAATCAGGTGGTCACCCAGAGATATGTCCCATTGGCAGATATCTGGACTTTGTCAGCCCAGCATGTGCTTGAATCCAAGTCTGTATAAGGGTCACACATTAATTTTATAGCTTGTTTAGGCACTAATAGTGTTGGTGCTTATCTGGTCAGAGAAGAGAATATAATACATTGGAGTAAACTGGCTGATGAGTTGTGCAACCTCATTTGCTTTCTGAAACAAATTTGAAATTAGTCTCAAGTCAACAGCATTTTATCCACTTTACCTATAAGATGACAATAAGTATTCATCATTGGAATAGACTGTCAAGTGCCTGAGATTGTTTCCTTCAGCATGCATGTCTAACACTCTTACATCAGTCAGTTCTTTGATTGCAATGTCAACACCAAATGTCCAGATCTTGTTGTCACTGTCATCTCCAGCATAGAGATATGTGCTACTGAAAAGAAGAGCAAGACTGTGGTTTCCAGAGAAATCTGATGTGAAGATATAGTTCTAGATAATGGAAGAGAAGTTGGTTATATAATGGTTCCACAGTCTCAAAAGAGTATTCCTGAATCTGAGAATATAAATGAAAGAATAAGCAGAATTAAAAAACATACTATATAAAGTGTAAGGCTCAACCTTGGAAGAGATGATAAATATAGCTTGAGTGAATGAGTCTGATTAGAGGTAAGGGGTCAGATAGAAACAATGTATGTTTTAAAGTGGTGAGCATACAGTGGCTGTCATGAGAGACAGATGCATTATATGTGATGCTGATACTATTCACCATATTAAAGTATCCATATATGCTGTTGGTTGCTGCATAAAGACTTTTCTGATCATGCTACAGAAATATGAGTGATAAGATAAGAGAATAGCATGAGGTACAAGAGCACCTACACTCAGATTTATCTATAGATGTTCACTAGATGTTATGATATTTGCAGAAAGAGTTAGCAAGTCTCATCATCAAACTCCAGTGCATAAATCACATAAGTGGAGAAGGTTTCAACAAAAAGATGGTGGAGTGCCACTGAAGAGAAAC